ATATTATTATTATTGGTGATGCCTTGGATGTTGTCACGAAGAATCTTTCGATGACGCTTGGCACCTCCTTTGCCAAGACCCTTTCCTCCTTTTCCTCTTCCAGACATGATTGATGAAAATTAGCAATGTAAGTGCAAACTACAATACGCTAAGCAAGTAAGTGAACTGCCCGAACTGTAAACTGCAGGGTTTAGATTCAGTAGAAAAGGCGAACGTATTAGGAGCACTTTCTTTATACTGCCTTGCCATGTTGGTTGCCTGGTTGGCGCCTTTTATAACTCTACTGAAGCAAAGTGTACGAAAACTCTTAAAACTCTACCGACGCTTTGTTCTTTATATCCATTTTCTGATGACTTTTCATACTCACGTTTTAGTCTGACAGGAATGTCAGACGAAATACTTGAGAATGTTTGAACTTTTTGCTCTTTTCAAGGCCATTTTTGAATTTTGTTCCACAAAAAGATTGTTCGCAAACATCATTTACGTAAAAGGTTGCTATTAATGCCAATAACCGAGACAAAAAATTCTCAAAATTAAAAGAGAGTAATTTAAAATTGTTGAATCTTCTAAAAATGTCGCGATTTCTGTTTCCCCCAACTTTAAATCAGATCGTAAGAATGTTGTTCAGAACAAGACTACTGGCAGCTCGAAAGTTTAGGGAACAAGCAGCCAATGGGCTTTTTGTTTTTGTCATCTGGCTTCTGTTCTCCCGGCATGTCACGTGGCTTGCTGAATGATTTCAAATTGAAGTCGAATGGCGCCATTTTGCAGATTGATATCTGTTGTGCCTACCGCTCAGTCAGCAAGTAAATTTCTTCGTTGAGGTATTAAAATGGCTCGTACAAAGCAGACTGCAAGAAAATCGACTGGAGGAAAAGCTCCTCGCAAACAATTGGCAACCAAGGCTGCACGAAAGAGTGCCCCAGCAACTGGAGGAGTAAAGAAACCTCACAGATATAGGCCCGGCACAGTTGCACTGAGAGAGATTCGTAGATACCAGAAGTCGACCGAGTTGTTGATCAGGAAACTGCCCTTCCAAAGGCTCGTCCGAGAAATAGCCCAAGACTTCAAGACAGACCTGCGCTTTCAGAGCTCGGCAGTGATGGCCCTTCAAGAGGCATCAGAAGCTTATCTAGTTGGACTGTTTGAAGACACCAACTTGTGCGCCATTCATGCCAAACGTGTTACCATTATGCCAAAGGACATACAACTAGCCAGAAGGATTCGAGGCGAGAGAGCTTAATTCAACAAGCAAATTTCATCTTTGTCGATGAATTCTTTGAAAAAACGGTTTTTTTAAAAACCACCACGAACACCAGAGATTATATTTCTCCAGCCAGAATACACACGACATGGTCGACTTAAATCAGTTTACTTTTGTTCATATGTTTCATATATATGTTCATGTGTATATAAAAAGCCTTTAGATATGTACAATTTGAAAACGTGGAGGAATAAATTTAAAGCAAGCATTATCTGAATGAAGGGAATTCTTAAAGAGGGAGGTCTTTAACAAGCAAACTACTTTGGCTGGGACTTCCTCCATATCTATGAATTGCTTAGAAGACAACTTTGCTTAGAAGGTTGATTTATAGAGCATTAAATTTTTTCCTTCCCTGTTTATAAGTCATTCCAAATTTCAGCACCAAGGAAACTAAGATATCCAAAACTGCATGTTTACTTATATCTCTACTTACTTACAAGTAGATCTTGCTCAACAGTGATTCAAGTCTTCAGTCCAAAGTTTAACTTTACTACCCAGTTCTTTCTTGCTATCCATTCACAATTGCACAGCCAAGAGAGAATGGAGGGAATAACTCCTCACAAAATCACCTGTAATGTAAATCATTGCATACTGTGTACAATGGGACAATAAAAAATAACTTACCACATTTTTATACTGCTAGACTCACATTCAAGTAAATGTAAAATGCAAATTTTTTTTCATGATCAACACTTTAGGCAAACAAGACAAATTAGCATGAAGGCTAAAATTGCACTCAAAACAATAATGCATGTATACATTATTGGTGCAAAAAGTTTTCAGATTCTGCTAACCCCATGTTAAAATTGATTGAAAATGTTGGGGTCATAGTAAATAAACAATATATAATATATATTCCCTATGCAGTTAAATCATAGCTAACCTCTCATAGCCAATCATAGACGACTAAACTTAATGCTTGTATTCACATGATAAACTCTGATTGTGTAAATAGATTGTAAAAAAAGATTCTTCAAAGAGCAACTTCACAACCTACCAAAAATTGGCTTCATGAGAATAGACTAAATTTTTTGCATGCTTATCATTAAGGTCATTGCCCATCAAGATCCCCTCCTGTCAATCCAGTCTTGATATTTATAGTTTGGATTTAAAAGTGCAATTTCTATCACAATTTCTATGCTTTAGACTGTGTGGGACAAATACAAGTGCACTTGCAGTTTTTGTTCTCAACATAATTAACTGACTTTTTCAATGATGAATCTTATTACCTATCTTGTAAGGGTTATTCAAGCTTAAGCATCACTACACAAGGGTTATGTATCTATGTGTTGTCCAAAGTTGTCTCTTGCTGTTTATTAATCTCAAAACCCATCAAAGGCAGCCCACCCCTACTTTCAAACCAGTTTTGAGGTATAGTGGGCATGCACATTGGCAAATGAAATGCTACTTCAATTTGCATAACTGACAGCTCCTAATAATACAACCAAAAATATATAATTAACTCTATCAATGCATTTTTTGCTTATTTTCAAGAGAGTATGCATTTGCAATTGTGTAGTCAAAATAATTTAATGAGTGCTTGGCATTACCTGAAATTAGCTGAAATTGGCTGTAATGATGCTGAATCCTCCTATCTATATCGTAAATATAGAAGCTTGAAATGTAACCATAAAACTGTTAAGCTTGCTCTTTCATTTCTATCAAACTAATAGCAATATTATGCTTGCTTTAACAGCCAACATAGAACTTCAGAATTATTTCATGCCATTTTCCTAACAAGGTTTTATTATTATTGTGCCAATCATTACAAGAACATCACAATCATTACAGGAAAGAACATCACAAAAAACAAAGTGGCAGACAAGGTTGAGTTGACTGTCACTGGCTTGGTGGGCCACCAGCTTTGAAAACTCTACATGTCATTTTTATGATATCAATGCAGCCGAAAGGGCTAATCCAGAACCGATGACCGACGATTTGGTAGCTTTTAAAAAAGCTGTTTGTTTATATGGTAAGTGGCAACATGACTTCGTTTTTCAACTTCTACTTCTTCGACTTTCCAGTCTTGGATTTCTTCCCAGCCGGTGATTTTGCTGTCTTCTTGCTGGCACTGGCAGCCTTTTTGGGTTTGCTCTTAACAGCAGCCGATGCCTTCTTACCAGCAGCCACTTTAGGCTTCTTTGCCACTTTGGCCTTGGGCTTCTTTGGTGACTTGTTGGCTCCACTGGCTTTCTTTGGTGTCGAGGCCTTCTTCTTTGCAGGGCTTTTCTTGGCTGAAGAGGCAGTTTTTTTGGCAGCAACCTTCTTCGCTGCTGCTGGCTTTTTCGCAACCTTTTTTGCAGCTACTGGCTTTTTCACTGCTGCAGGCTTCTTGGCGGCGACAGGCAGCTTGAACGATCCTGAAGCCCCTACCCCTTTCGTTTGGATGAGAGAACCAGAGGCGACCAGTTTTTTCAATGAGGCCTTAAGGTTTCTCTTCAGAGCACTCTCATCACCAAGACCTTTGTAATTAGACTGCAAATACTTGGCAATTTTCTGTCGCGATGACCCATTTCGCTCCTTCAAATTTCTGATTGCTTCCGCGATCATGTCCTTGTACGCAGGGTGTGCAGCAGGCTTCTTTGGCGCCGCTGCCTTCTTCGCTTTCTTTGGTGATGTAGCAGACGAATCCATGTTACTTGCGAGCTACTACTTCAATCAAAATGGTATCCAACTTTCACGAGAGTTTCCTCACTCCACTGCAGATAACAAATCAAAACAGCCCACCTTCGTTCGATGGAATATTTAAACCTCTTGCGATTAGGCGCCAAAACCCACGTGACCTTCAAAAGTTTAGGCCATCATGGCAGTCATTTTTGTGCTTCTTGCTAAAATTAATTGGCCCATATAGCCTTAGCCGTGGCAAATACAATCTTAAAAGCTTTCAAGTCAGCAGTATCATGTTACATAGTTGCATTGCTAGCCTTTGCAATGCGACTTTGGTGATTATTGAAGCAAAATATTCAATTTCAAGTGGTATTGCTCAACCTGCCTTCAAACGTTGTTAGGTTATTTGCTTTTGCAGTCGTCACACCACCTGTTCTTAACCATGAAAAGGCAAGTTTAAAACGAACATGCATTGATGGGATCAGAAAAATGTAGTAGCCTTTCTTGATGGCCACAAAAAACGCATAATATGGGCCAAATTTGATTTTTAAGAAACACAGTACAATTTTACCAACAAACTCTTTCGAATACTAACTTTTTTACCCTTCGGTCTAAAATATTGGCTTTACATTTGATTACATAATCTATCTGGCAATTTATTAAAAAACTTATTGCAATAAAAAACTACTCTTGTGTCATCAATGAGCGGTGGAGGCCCTCAATAAAGGTAGAGTCGAAAACCTATCCCCCATAAGCAGCAGTTCTTGGGCGGGGTTAGGGGTTGACAAAACGAAAGGAAGTTTAGAAATATTTTAATAGAAAAACAAACCTGTTTCAAGTTTAAGGCAAGAAAACTTTTTTAAAAAAAGGCACACTATCACAGAATGACAGAAGCAATCATTGTCAGAATTGAATGTGATCAAAGCAAAGATCAAAGATAAATGGCAAAAGAATGCACTAATTCATGTTTGATTTTTTTTATTTCTATGCAGTGGTCTCAGTAATTAATTAGAAAAGTCCCCACCAAAAGGCTTCTCTTGTCTTCTTGTCGAGAAGATGAAACGGAACTTCACCATAAAAATGTGAGTAATCTTTTGTTTCCATGCATTTTATATTATACGTAATAAGGAAAGGTCTTGAATGGTGTTTTCGATTGCTTAGAATAGAATACTTCTGATTTTATCAAGATGCTGTGCTTAGAGGGTGATTGATCAACTACCGATTGATTATAATTCTTGCGCAAGTGCGAATAAGTCAATGTTTTTTTTTAATGACGTTCTAAATTAAGTAAGAGTTGATGTACTAGCTATTTTTAGAAGTTTCCATGCAACATTGAACGCATTTATTGGATTTTTCCTGCATCGCCATTATTATCATTACCAAAAACGAAAGAGTTTCAAGGCATGTTGTATAAATACGAAGAAGAAACGCCACAAGAAGAACAAGCCAGGAGGCTTGTTTTCAAAGGAGGGGTCTATGTTAGAACACAGGGTTCCCATTCATTGCAGGACATCACATGACAATTGCATCATTGCGCTGCAATTGCATCAGCTTCTGTAAATTGTATTATTCTTAAGGTATATAAGGGGTGGCTTTATAGTTAGGTTCAGTGAAGAAGTGTATAGAGGATTGGATAACAGTTTTTGCCGTATTTATCGTGTACGTTTCTGCGAACGACCTACGAACTCACATTTGTAAAACCCCCTTTTTAAGTGGTTTTACAAAATCATATAGAAACAATAGAATCGAAAGCTTGGCACACTAAGAGAAAATTTTACCGATGGCGATATTTTGATCTTTTCTACGTTTTGACTACAGAAATTGAATTTTCATTCCAGATTCGATAATGAAGGTGTGTGTATTTCAACGGGCAAAATTGCTGAGCTATGCTGACACTGCTGACACAGGCATGTAAACCAAAATAGCTCAAACTGCTCGTATTTGTTTTATAAGGACAAAATTTAATGGCATGCAAGCATTAGTAAATTGCGACATTTAGGAACATTTTTGAAGGAAAAGGTTTAAGTTGAAATAATACTCTAAAAACATTCCACAACTTGCAGTTATGTGAATTTATGCGGGTTTTTACTGCATTGCATCATCCCATCGCCACTATTGTTTTAATCAGTCCCTTTGTTTGATATAATTATCGTGTTCATGTAATTAGGGTGTGTTTGTCATGTGGTATATTTGCTGTACCCTTGTTCGCAAATTCAGTCGAGTTGAAATTGTCGTTACCTTGAGTCGTGTTATATTGCATGTAGGTATCAAGAGATGCTTGAAACCTACACTTACGTTCAAAAAGTATTGGGACGAATTCGTTGGATTCGGTTTTGCAACGGAAACTTTTTCAGCTTTAGGCAGTCTTTCTACAAATAATCTAGGCCCAAGTTTCCCCAAAATGGAATAAAAAGTTAACAAAATGCTTCAACTTATGAAGAATAACCAAGAAAACACAGGATTCTTTAGATTTTCCTGATTATAACAGCAAAATATGCAGAAGGGCTGAATGGCCTAACAATGGCAAAGTCACATGACCTTCCAAAAATTTTAGAGCTGTCCAAACAAATACAACTTTTTAATTTCACGTTTGCATAACAAAAGAAATTATTAAAGAAATTATAAAATCAAACTTTTAAGCTTCAAAAAAGTTTACTTCATCGACGAAAATGCTACAAATTTATTAAATAATTGCATTTATTCAAGCTACTTTTAAAATTGCGTAACATTCAAGGAGAAGCCATTGAACTCATCGTCGATGATTAATTTTAACTTTGAGAGAGCATTTTTTTTTTCTTATAACGCTGGAAAATTTGTATTTTACATAACTTTATAGCCATGTTTTTGCTTATGTTCCATTTTTTAGCTTCTTTTTACATGACAACACGATGTCTGGTAAGGATTCAAACCTATTACTTCGCAGTTCCCTCAGTAAAGAACTGTCGTCCCTCGGCGTCGTAAACTTCTTTGGTCTGCAAACCCTTGGTAAATTTTTTTCTGTTCTTGTACGGAAAAACTTTTTACACACCAGAAAAGCTGCACTCATTGAGCAGCCGAGAATTGATGCAATATCGCAAAATCCATTTACTTTATTATAGTAGAAAGCACTTTGTAAGCGCTTCTCTTAACTCAGTTCTTGAGTTTTCAGAGCTTCCATGTTTTCGTCTCGAGACCTATAGAAATTTTATGGTAGATGTATTTTTAATTTTTTGGCGTCCATAAAAGGCTTCAAAATATCAACAATGTCTTGTGAAAATTTCATGGAAATAACTGCCGTACTTTTTTAATGAGAAAGATTTTAAAAAAGTCTTTCCGAATTTGTTGCATAAAATGTCTTCGAAGTTTCGAAGGGTGTCCCAATACTTTTTGAACGTAAGTGTAGATCTGTCTAGCATTCAAAATAATAATATGAATTGATATTTCAAGAAAAAGGCATTTTGCTGCCCCTTTGTTGTCCCTTGCTGCCCCCGCGCCACTAGGGCAACAGGGGCTGCTGCCCCCATGGCTCGGGCGCCGTTGCCCCTAATGCTTTATAAAGGCAGCAAGGGTGAAGAATCCAGTTCCGATTTTTCGATTAACTTCGTGTCATACACGTCGAGGAGTTTTTGACTGCATCGACGAATCACAGGTTGCTTAGGGTCAAGGAATGCTCACCTAAAAATATGACATAAAGCAAACATGGCACCACTCCAGATTGTTCATGTCCGCCACGACGCGCATGTTATACCGGCCTAACATTATTGAATTGAAAGATCGACGCTGATGGATGTCAGGGTGTTTATCAGTCTTGGAGCATTATTTTCTGTACAATTTCTACTAAACCCGCGGAAATTTGAGAAAGAGAGGCTTTTATATAGCAAAAGGAAATTCAACTAGCTAACATGGGAACCTGCACGTCATTAGTTAACCAAATACCGCACGTAGTACAGCATTGTACGTGACGTACAATGTACATTGTACGTGTACAATGTTACGCCTACTGGTATGATATCATTTCGAAGGAAGTTTCTCGTTTAAAAGCAGAAAGGAAACTAGCAAGAACCAGTGCTGTTTAGTTCAAAGAGAAGACAGAACGATGTTCAGTGGTTATTCATTTATTGATATCACTGGTGATTTCAAACAGAATGCGAATTTACAAGATTTTCTCGATGGGGATGAACGATTTGGAAGTTGACATGCGTGAATACAACTTCAACCTAACAAGCCCAAAATATATTCTGAATGGCATTATAAGAGAATGTGAAATACGCAAAGTCAAAAAGGTAAAATGTTCCTCTCAGGCTCAATTAACATAGAACTAGGTGGTGACACACATTATTTGTATGCCAAGGTGTTGATTTTAGGCGTGATGATATCATTTAGCACTGATGCAAATTAAATTTCACTGAAAAATTCTTAACTTTTATTGAAAGAAAATCAATGTAAGGGGAACTATAATTAAAGTACATGTCTTTCTTTCAAAATCATTCTCATTTGGTCACATTGAATGCATTTACCCAACAGAAGCCATATTGTTCCAATTTTGAATGTTAGTTTGAATATTCTGTTTCATTTCAAGCCAAATAGTACCAAGTATGGAGTCTGGAGTTTTTTAACTTGTGTCCCCCATACTGAGAAATACTTAGGTTGGGCACAGTTGTATCCGGTCTAATAAAATAGTTCTCTTTTATGGAGAATATGAATGAAAAAGATTTATGTACATATGAAACCATTTAAGATAATTGTTTGAACATTGTACAGATGCCATCTTTACATTGTTGAATAAATGTTTTGTTTGTCCAAATGTCATATAAATGAGTTACTCAATCGTTCCTTTATTTTCTGACAAATGTTTTCTATTTTAAAAATCACCAAAAGTTTGTTACCAACAATAAAGCAGCAACCAGTTAGAAGCTGAATATTGCTAAGGTATTTTGTAATGATACAATGGCACATTAGAAGAGAAAAAGATAGTATACATACCAATCATTCACAGTTTAGTGGTTTCTTGTGATAAATGGGTACAGTGGAAGACAATATGTCATAAGGAAATTAAATTATATGTTTTTAAGGTATGTTCAGTTGCCTGATGCTGACTGGGTTTTGCTGGGAGACACCAGTTTTTGCTTGCTTTCTCTTGGTCTCCCGGGTTCTTAAAACTCCCTCCCTGTTTCTCCCTTTTCTTTTAGCAGAGGCATTTTTGTGATAAAAATGATAGCAATGATCTTCCTCATGACAAAACTTTTTGTAAGTGCTTGGGAATTGACAAAAACAATAAAAAATCAATGTTTGTCCATCACAGCATTGCGCAGGTATGTTGTTGAAATAAACAAGCAAATTCTGGTGTTTTTGCCCTGTTTTTGCCAAATCTCCTGGAGTTTTTCATTAAATTAAATCTTAAATCACTAAATTTTGAAAACATTAGGTTGAAAGGTCTACTGATGATTGCATTTAATCATAAAATTGAGAGTTAAGCACTTAGAACCAACTTGTTCTATACACCAAAAGTACATATGGCATCAAACACATTTTATGAAAGATTTCTAAACAGTAAGTTTCATGTTTATCTTTTAAATAAACTGTACTTTTTACCAACAGGTTGTTTTTGAACTAAAAGAATTGGATGATTTTGATAAGTTTTTCCTAATCAAGAAGGAGATGGGACGCGTGCTTGCTTTTGAACAAAATTTACCTGATTTTCTATTGGAAGAGATTTCATCCGAAGGTATCTTGATTATTTGAGTTATAGAACATTTTGATTTTGTTAGCTCATCTTTGTCTCTTTATATTTAATGATTTATCATCTATAATGGGATCAGGGATGCTGGCACTCAAAGAGGGAAACATAGCAAAACACCTAGGAAAAAGGACAAGACATAGTAAATTAAAGAGAATTTCTAGATTCTGTGAGGGAAAGGGCCACTGTCCCTGCTGCCTCCTGGTGTAAGTCAGGCCTTATGAGGAACAGAAACAAGGTGCTTGACAAACTGAGCACTGTCAACTTTCTAGGTGCTCGATTGAGCATCATCAAATATCATCAATAAAAAAAATTGGGTTTTTTATATATCTTTTAGACATAATAAACACACCAGGGGCTAAATCAGTCAAGCTCCTAGATCTTTCTAGTTGTGTGTGGAGGCATTTGCTGGAGCTCAAGCACCTCTCCTTACAAGGCCTGGAGCAAGTTTCCCTATGCACAGAAAATAAATTCAGTTTGTTAGGTCCCTTGTTCTTTTAAGGGGCTCACCAGTGAAGGCTGCTCAGAGTCTCTTCAAAGCAAATTCGGCAAAAGAGGGACTCAGGAACTGCTCCCAACAATTAGGCTAGTTTTCAAAGCTATTTTCCACATTTCTGTATAAGTTATCAAATTGTTTCTTTTGCATAAAGGAAAATGTCAACATCCTTATTGGCCAGATAACTGGACAACTTCAGTTACATATGTCCATGATCCATCTCAATTTGGTCTATCGCAAAAGAACTGCTTAACTTCTTACCTTGGCAAAGTAGGTTGACTATCCAGTTTGTTTTTTCTGCAAACTATTTCAATTGACTTCTTTAAATGCTCAAACTATCGAAATATAGTTACCTGGAATAATGCAAAACTCATTGTGGATGGCATAAAGATCAAGACACTAACATATCAAATATTAGGGACCAGTTATATAGCCAAAGCTAGGTCAAGACAAAAGAAACCCCAAAATTACAATTAGTTTAGAATCAAACCAGAAGAATACAAGGCCTTTTACTACAAAAACTGTTAATTGTAAAACTGTATGCAAATGTCTTTTAAAGATATTTTATAATTAGGTAATTTCATTACAAATTTGTAAAAAGTATTCTAAGAAATTTGCAACCATCTGGCATCCTCTTCTGTAAGAATATGAAAAATTGAATATGAATTCTCTCTGAGGAGGTTGTGCAAGGGTGTTGAAAATTCTAAGAATATTTATAAACTAATGTGTTTTCAATGATTTAAACTTGATTAAGGTAATGAAAAAACTTAGATATAATTTGTCATATAACACACATGATCTTGTCAAAACATTTGCACAAAACTTCAACAACCAGAAACATGCATTTTTTTGTTTTTAGTAACTATTCCCAGTAAGCATCTTGCTCAAGTTTTAATGAGCAATCTCAATGTTACTGGCTGTTTTTATGGCCAGCCTAGACACATTGTCGTTAAAACTTACTTCTTGGTTTTTCTGTTAGTTTGGGCTTCTATTTAGCGTGCCTATTCAGGGCCAATGTATTCACGGAGACTCAAGTTCTACAGAAAAGGACAATTTACTAACAATATTCAGCATAAGTAAAAATGTAAACATATTAGTGTTGTGTTATTTTTCAAAACATTTATGGCAAATTTGTTCTTCAAATAGTTCTACCCTTGCCAGCCTCATCCCCTTTGTTTATCATTAGTAGCTTTTGCAATCATAATTGCATTTTTAAACTTAAAATTGAGAAAGACTGATTGTATTTTTTCTATTTTTCAGATCTGTGCTTTGCCAAACTTAGAAAGACTTGCCTTGTATGGAATTTGTTGGAAAAAGCTCCCACTTTTCTTTGGGGTATTTCCAAAGTTGAAAAGATTCAAATTGGCAGATACTAGAATCTCAGAACTTCCTCAAGCAATGCGTTTTTGTAGTGAATTGGAAGTACTTGAGCTTGACGGGAACAAATTCAAAGTCTTACCATTTTGGATAACTAAGTTGAAAAAACTAAAGACTCTTTCAAGACATCAAAATTTTCTTGAAAGAAGTATAAATAAGGATTCTTATGAATGGCATGGCCGGGCTCAATCCTTTCTTGAATCCCCAAAAAGTCTTTTTCAGCTATCAGCTAGAGCAGCAATTCCAGGTTTCTTTAAGAAGGGATGTAGCCAAGAATTACCAATAGAAGTGTCTCAAGAACTGGTAAAACTTTTAGCAAGGATGAAAGTCTGTGACATTTGTTCAAAGGCATTCCCTAATGATGAATGTGAGTCAATTTTTTTCTAATTTTGCTCTTTCTTTAATTTTTTCTATCTCTGTCAGGAAGTGATGAACAAAAATCTTGAACTTGGTGTGGGTGAAGACTAATGGCCCATGTGACAGTTTCTTTGTTTTTAACTGAAAGGTGCAGTTAAACCATCACATGGTTGAAAGCAACATCCTTTTATCTAAACAAATTAGTATTTTTAATCTTTCATGTAAAAATATTGCAAAAGGCCAAAGTGATAAGAGGATCCAATTTGCCAGATGTTTTTTAAGTTTCAAGATTGACCAAAACAAGGTCCAAGAATAAGATACAACCATAAATTTTGTAGTAGAACAGATGCTTAGTTATAGTCAAATTGTAATTTATTTTGCATTGTAACTTGTACAGAACCGATGCTATGTACCATACAAGCACAGCATTGTTACTTTTACAAAATTTCCATAACCATTCTGCACGGTGCCACTGGGGCTCTTTAACAACTTGATATAGGCTCTTTCGCAACTGGCATGCTTTGCGACTATATTTCCAAAATAGGCCTAATATCGTACTGCATGAAAATACCAAATACTGTCCATTTCTCATCGCATAAAAATACAGCCACAGCAAAGCATGCCGGTTGTGCAAGAGCCTTTAAGCTTTATGATTAGTCTGCTTCTGGTTCAAAAGATTTCATTCAGAGCAACTTTCTGAAGATGAAATATGCATCAAATGTCATTGAAACCTTGGTAGTGCAAAAAGACTCTATTCAATGAAGTGATGATTCTGTTCACGTGAATATCCATACCCTTCTGTGATTGGTTAGCCTATACTGGTTAGACCAAACAAGGAACCAATAAAGCCATAAAAGGCATCATCTTTCTCTTACATTACTTTTGATGCGTACCAACATATCTATCTATACCCAGTCAGCTTTTTGCCATCTGCTGACAGAGGATATAATTTCTGTGTTTATAATTTTGCTTTGTCATTCCCATTTCGGTTTGCATAAAAAAAGGCCTAGACATTTTGGAAGTATGTACTATGTTTCTACACTAAATTATTTTGCAATTTTGAGAGCTTGATATGTATCTATGCTTCTGAATTGCAGATATTCGAATGCAAGATACAGTTTCCAACTTTAAAGGTTACTCACTCATTCCATTTGAAGCAATTGTTTGCTCAGAGAGCTGCTTTAGGGATCTTGTGGCAGAGTTTTTTGCAATGAAACCAAGTACAAGCAAAAAAGAAGAGTATTGTTTTGACGTTAAAAACTCCAATTTTCCTTTTTCAAACCTTCTCTGCTGCTCATGAATTTTCTGCAGAAGTACCAATGCTGGGACTTGAAATTTGGGAGAAGATATCATGAAGAAGAAATACTTGGTTTTAGAAAACTGGTAATACGTCTTATTGGAAAGTTAAAAGGGATATGATAACCCTATACTAACTTTGGAGCCCTTTCAAAGATGCTAAAAATTTATGCAAATTGCACTGAAAAGCGAAAGTACGGTTAGTTTAATTGATTATTGAAGAAACTTTGGTCATTATCCAGCGTTAATTCTCTGAGGAATGTCAAACGAAAAGCACTTTGGTATTTTCTGTTTTCACATTTCAGTGCTTTTGCCAAACTACCATTTTGTAACCTAGGGGCCAACTGGCTAATGCATTAGCAAAACATTTGAAAGATAGATACGCTGACCAAATTGAATTTAAAATTAATTCTCCTACTGATTATCTCTGAGGGTCCTTTTACAAGGTCAACTATTTTCATCAGATATTCATCCTGTATTGATAATTGTAAATAAAAGTTAAATATTTTGTTATATTTTAAAATATTAATATCTGATGAAAGACTAATGAATGAACTAGATTGTGTAGCAGGGTATGTAAATTATCAAAATTTGGCTAATGTAATATGAATTTGGCTTACGATTCGTTTCTCGCTTAAATAATGTGAATATTTAATATAATTGTTTAATATATAATAGTGTATTGTGTACTAATATTTTTATTATATTTTTCCATTAACTTTACTGTAGTTTTTTATTTTATGCCCACGCCTAGATTGAACTCGTAGATTTGCAGAATTTTGCATGTTATATCTGTTTGGTTATAACCGGACACCCTAATTCATTTTGTGTCATCTTCTAATAAAATCAAAGCTTTGTGTTGATGGTACATTTCTATTTGTTGTACAATTTTAAAGAAATATTCTCTACGATTGCAAGATTGGTATTTTCCTATGACCGAATCGCATACAATTCAGAAAATTCTGACTTTTACAAATGCGCCGTGGCTGCCCTCTTTTCGGTATCATTAGAACACAGGGAAAATTAAGATTTGTCTTCTTATACAGTACCTTATATCAGAAACCATTTTGATAAATATGCCCTAAACCCTAAAGCATAGGCGCCTTCTTCAAAGGGGCTTGGGTGCTCCAGCCTTATTGGGGTTTTTAAAGGGGGCTCAGCCACCCCTGGCAGCTATTTTATGGAAAAATGATTTTCGGTAAAAAACAAAATCTAGCATATTTTTTCGATTTTAAAGACGGCAAATCATGAAAGGTGATTTTGGAAGTAGAGATTTTCTGTAAAAACATTTTATGCATTTAATTGTCAATAATTGAGATAAGAATTCATCACAATCTCCAAGCAAATGGTAAACATTAATTTTCATGCCAACATTTACATTTGAAGTTTTTAGCCACCCTGAGGAAAGCTATACGTCAGCCCCAGTGATCCGGAATGAAGTGGTTTTTTGAGTGTGCTCACAATGAAAAAAAATCATATACAAACACTACAAGTTGATTATCTTTTTTCTTCTGCGTCATCTTTAAAATAATTTATTAATGCGTTATCAACCGGTTTTAGTAATGAAATCTCGTAATGGATACCATCTTCAGGTTGTTTCCATGTCGAGGCTGTTATCGGAAACACATCAAGAATGGGTATACCAGCATTGCACATGGCGGAATTTGCGAAGGCATTGAAAAGCTCCGCGCGCTAAAATAGAAAGGAACAGACTGAAATTATGATGATTATATAGAACACACGTCAGTAATATTTCATCTGGTTCCATACCCGATGTCCGTTGATTTTTTTAATTTAATGGTTTACAGTTGCAATCTGTGGTCAACAACATGTATATAAAATGGAACAAAAGATTGTAACAAACGTATTGCTCTAATGTATGACAGACCCCGAAATTTGTATTTCTATATAAAACGTCTGCATTGCCAGGAAAAATAAGAAACTGTCGCATTTGAAATAAATTTCCAGTATTACAAAAAGAATTGTTTAGATCAAGATTGATGCACAATGAGATAAAGGTCATTGTTAAACTGTGCGTCTTCTTTTATCAGGACATTTTTCAGGAATTTTGTAATGCAATCAGGACAATCTTTCTTGATTGGGGGCTATATATATTATATATATATATTTAAGTGGATGTCCATTATTATTATCATTATTGCCTTATAATATTGTAAACTTATATTGAATTGAAACCTGTGTCTTGATATCAATGAAAAATAAAGCCTTAACAAATATATCTAACAAATATCATCATAATCTTGAGATTGTGTCTTACCTGGTTAGTCTGAAATCTCTTATGAACTTTCAACTGTTGCCTCCATATAGATGTTGTAGTTCGCCACACAACCTCGCCATCATAATTAGCGAAGTCCTCAATCAGCTGTTGTATGAGTTTTTGATAATTTTCAAAACTGGTTGAACGAACTAAATGAAGACCGTAATTTATGATCAAGGCACTATCCTCATCCATGTCATCTCTGTCGAGGACTGCCTCCAAGTGAGAGATTACTTTGCTTATTGAAAAGTCACTGGGATCCTTTCGATGGATGGACGGGTCGAGTTCGTGTACGGGGTGTAGTCGTGGGTAAACCCAGTTGTAGGTCCTGTGATGGAAATATTCAATCACAAAAGTGGTTTATTTCTAATTAATTTGTTGTGTCAATGCCTTTCCGAGTCGTGGACTACTAAACAGGCAAGGCAGCTTGGCCATTCTCTGAAACTTTTAGATGGTGGCCACTCCCTGGAACTTTTAGATTAGTTCCTACGACGCCCTTTCATTTCCCCCAAAATAGGACTCAGTGGTTAGGGTCGCGGGGTTCGTGGCTTGTGTCATCGATCCGACCAAACCAATTAGAGTGAGGAGAGTCGCCAGTTTTATGTTATTCTAGATATAGAATTCACGTCGGGAAGAAGAACCAGGGCACTGCTCGATAGAAATTGCTTCTCAGTGTCCTAGAACTACCTTCTGAAGCTTTGAAGTAGCAAATAAGACAACATTGATTTTTCCATTTTCTTTGTTTATATTGGAAAGAAAAATCCCATAATACCCAAAATATCACCAGGTATTGCATCTATGTTTGTGATAAGACTTTGTCCGGGGAAAAAATATGGGTTGATGAGAAATGTTGTTGGGATGGCCATGCCAAGCAATAAAGTTATATCTTTATAGGATGCAAGAAGTCTTACTAAAAGATTTGTCTAGCAAAACGAGGCTATCAGGTAAAAGAGGTTTAATCAAAGAATGATAGCAGTAGACTCTTGATATATAGGATTTTTCTTTGCACAGAATTGTTGTGCTGTGTGCGTTTAATCAAAAATACCACGTGTTTGAAACCACGTGATACCCATAGCTCTTGGGTATCATCTCGTAAACGAAAGCCTATATGAATCATGATAAATATTTATGCAAAATTTTTAAAGTCAGCTCTTAAGTAGGTAAGAATAACTCAAAATTTTCCTGTTAACGAGTTTTACTTACTCTCCACATTTCTCGAATACACTTCTGCATAGTGTTTTATTCCAGACCATTTCAAAGAAATGATGAGCAAAGCAATCTCCATATAGCCAGAGTGTTCCCCTTTTTCTCCTTTTAGCTTTCAAAATATATTTCCATTCCGGTCTTTTATCCATTCCCTCTGAATATTCATAAAACATTAGAAGTCTTGATAGTGTTAAACGATGCTTGTAAATATCAAAGTGAGTTTGAGATGTATGTCTCCTCTGAACTGACCATAAGATATATTATGAAATATCGAAAATAGTCAGCCTAGTTTGAAGTTGAATAGAATTTACGAGTAATAATGTAATTTTAGATAACAACTCAAAAGTAGACGGAGTCAACAATAGCTTGGTAAACAGGAAAGTGTATTTACAAAGCAAAATTAAGGAATTTGCTGACTCTTTATGCACCGCGTCTTGGCCAAAAATGTCGTTCAGATTTTTATACAGTGACAACTGCCTTCTATTTTGTCTCTATGATATTAATATACATAGACAGATACATCGAAAGATAATCTCCTATAAATTATACATTATCAAGTCTTTTTTTAATCTATTAACCCTTTAATAGGTTTCTATCATAAACTGGACACAGACAGATAAACAAATTAACAATCAAGGATCGACACAGAAAGGGTACCTCCTTTAACACAACCATCAATTTAGAACATACCATTTTCATTATAAGGCTTCCAAGTCGTGCCAACCCATCGCCCAAAGCCATCCCATATGAAATTGCATTTATCTGGTATTTGACAGACCTTTTGCCAGTCTTGAAGTTTAGCCATGTTAGCTTTAACATAAAAAGCAAAATCCAATAAAACTAAAATCTAAACGATTTTTATAATCAAGTTATGTAAGATATTTTTATGCTCATTATATATTTATAAAAATCTTAGTATAAAAATATATATCAATTGATATTTTGTTAAAAGTGATCTAAGTGTAGCTCAAAATATGAGTGTTAAGTAGAAGTTTTGTTGAAAAGCAAATTTCAAATCAGTTATGTTTTCCTTGCTTCAAAATCGCTTGACCAATTTTTAATACCATTATATGACTTTAGTCGAAATGGCGTTATACAGCCAAAAACTGCTTGTGCCTTAGCAATAGGTTTGAGTAATTTTTGTAGGAACTATAAGACGGAAAAATGTCGAATATGCAGCAGAGAAATGTTGATTATTAGCAATTACACTTAACCATTGCTAGCTAACTCTTAGCTGACGAGGCTCGATGTCGTATAGACAGAGCTTATAGAACAACTTATAGAACACGCTTTGGTGAATAGAACAAAATGGTCTTATAGAAGGAATAGATTTTGAAGAAAATTCTGATGAGTTGCTTGAAAATTGAGTTTTGAATAAGATGAAAAAAATTGCAGGACCACTATTAAAAAGAAATGCAAATCATAAATTTTGGCTGATTTTGGCAATCATACAAGTTGAATATTTTCCAGGGTAGTATTGTACATTCAGTGAAAACCAAAAGCTAGCATTTTCTAAAAAATTGCTTTTAACAGAAACCTTTGTTAAAAATGAGAAATTGTAAGAAACTTTTTAAAAATTCAGGCTCGACAGTTTCTCTTTTTGTGTACACAACCCTGAAAAAGTCAGCGTGCAGTTTCTGTGAATGAGTTTCCATATGTAGGTTTTTACTGTTATACACGCCTATCTGCTCCTATCTGCTCAATTCCCTACTGAAATAATTAAAATGTTTCATACTTCTAGGACTTACTTACCTCTATACTTCTATTTTGTGCTGCAGAAAGCTATTTATAATGCATTGCATTTCTAGAACCTATTGCTAGTTAGATGCAACAATTCATAATCATTGTGTTTGTGACGTAACTGGGGTAAGATTTAAGTACAGGCCCGTCGCTATCCATGGTACTCAAAGGGAGTTTTTATGTCTCATTTGCCGACGAAATGGGTGAGTCACCCTTAATTGGCCGACAAGTTCGAAGATTTGCTCACTAAGCACCTTTAGATGGCAGAAAACACCTTTTCGCAACGATATTTTTTTGCGAGGGGGTGCCACACCCATCACGCCCCATATTGCGATGACCCTGTTTAAGCATGCTCAAACTTTTGGTTTTTCCATCTCCAACTAAAACATTAAACAGATAGATTGTATGTTCAATATAAGGCCCATACCCATATAACGTGCTTCATCTTTAGGGTATACTTCAAAATTTATCACTGAAAAATTTCCACCAAGTTTCTCCCATAATCTCTCTTTTAATAATTTCGACCATCCAAAGTGACTGGCAAACATATGTGGCTCTTGAAAATGTCCATTATAGTCGCCTAGACGAAAAAGAAGGTTATGAATAAAGGTATAGAATCAAAAGTAATCTATATATCACAACATTTTGAATTTTTACTCTTCAATGACCTCCTTCCAGATAGGCCTTTGCTAACTTCAGATATAGAATAAAATAGCAGTAGATTGCAGCAAAACTGAATTTCTATACTTATTATTTTTCTCTTTTTAATGTTCTTTATTCAGAAAATTTTCTTGCCTTTGTAGGGCTTCCTTTTTCTCGCATCTCAACAGTCCGAGAATTCGTGTGTTGACATCGTACATTATTGTAATACTCAACTTTTATGCCAAAAATTCATATTCATTATTTTCCAAGCAGTTCTTAGCAAAGTAATTGAAGTTCAATTAAAATAAAAATACTTTAGTGGAATTCTTTCAAATACGGCGAAAGCCAAGGATTTTGTATTAAATATGGCCTCGTTTTGTTGTATTTCAAGATATTATACTTTAATCTCATAGCAAAATATGTGGCATTGAGAACAGAAAGTTTGTCATCAGCTTTTTTAAAGGAAGTTTCTGGTGCAAATGCTATAAAACAAGGTCGTTAGATATCAATATGAAAACTATTTGCCTTTTGCATGCTGCAACCAAATTCAAAATGGAAGACATGCCAAAGCGAATCCCTTTTAAAAAAAGAAACCCTATTAATTTCAACATTTCAAAAGAGAGAAATATTCACTCATGCCCTCTTTACTTTAAAATCATGCACAAAGACAAGCGTTACCTTTCTGAAACCAATCTGCTGGTGGATCAAAATACTGACTACACAGAGTACCTTCGAGGTAAATATCTGCTCTATATTTTCCCGGTTCCAATATTAAGAAAGGAATTTCGTAATAACCATTATTCATGTCATGCACAAACGGCTGCATGGATGAGGGCCCTGTTATTAATACTCTCCAAGTATCTCCTCCAAATGTCTTTGGCAAACCAAATTGGTCGACAGTTTGTATAGTCAATTTGCTGTATTCCCCAGCTTTCTTTATGTTCATGTTCCATATCCTACTAGTAAAAGCGTTTGTACGCAAGCTACTGGGAAGCAGGTTCTCCCCAAACTTTGTTCTTTGAAAGCAAGGCTGTAGAATCGACTGCCAGTCAAGCCTGCGCCATCTTTCCCTGCAAAGTTCTTTCTTGAATTCATCTTCATTGACCATTCCAGTTATCGGTTGGTTATATGTCTGAAACTGACCTTTGATTGCAACGAATAAGCAATTTACTGCAAGGTAAGCAAATAGAAAATCTTCACGGCAACATCTGTGTCTTCGCAGTTTAAGGAAACCATAAAGCATATTTCTAGAGTTTTTTAGTCCCTACTTGGAATAATTTTTCTGCAATTAGGTGTCATTAATGTTGCCATAAAGGCACTTTTAGGCCATATATATTTACAAAGCGCTCCAATCAAGGCAAAATCAAACAGTTTGCAGCATTAGTTGTGCACCAGCTCAATAGACTGGTGGCTGCATTGGGCTGCAATCAATTAAGTAGCAGTTTGGTAACGAGCTCCGCTGTTTGGTAGATCAAGGGTCAAAGCTTCAATAAACCGTTTGCGAAGCGACAATGTAAGCTGCGAAACTGCTGCCTTTTATAGGATAAAAGATCCGGTCCTATACGATTGCTATCGAAAAGCAAACCTACACTAAATCCGCCAAGATGTGTTTGACAATGGTGATTGGGTTACAGAAATCAAGGCTTATCCGTTATTGGTTTGTTTATTGTCAGGTGATGCAAAAAGGTGATGTTAGGTGAAAACTGAAAACTCTTCTTGCCAGATGCAGGATTATGTGTACTAGCTTTTTGACTTTTTAGACAAATTGATAAAAGAACGAGAACGAGAACGAGAACCATGCAGAACGAAAATTGTCTTCTTGTTTCTATACGGTTAAATGGATTGCACTTTCGCACTTTCGCAGGTATCGTCTTTGCAAGTAAAATGAATCAGCTTGCTGCGCAGTTCTGCAAATTTTTCCTAAAAAATTTTTAAGAAAAAACAAGCTTCGCAGGCTCACGCAGGACTAAAATTCGTCCTTTTCATTATGTTCTGTTATATTCCTATCTATCTTTTCAGTGTAGTCTATTTTGAAACGAAACGAAACGAAACGAAACGAAACGAAACGAAACGAAACGAAACGAAACGAAACGAAACGAAACGAAACGAAACTGAATGAAACGGAATGGAACAGAATAAAACAGAATGCTTAACATCGTTTTAGTTTTCAATTGCAAACTTTTTTATGGCCAGTTCAACATATTTTTGTTCCATTGAACCCTTGATGTCGGGACAAGCGCATCTGTTAAATTTTATCCCAAAATTTTCAAAACATTTTTGAAAGAAACTTTATAACCTTGTAAACAAAATTCATTTTTGTCAGTCAAGTGCTCTCAGAAGCCTGGGGTCCAATTTTTGTGGTATCTGTGCAACTTCCTACGCATTCCGTGTTTTTTAGTTTAGCTACTGTATTTGATGGCCAAACAAAAACAAAATTGCTTAAAAACATAAGAAAAATGTGAATTTTTCGTGAAATGTTTGATGTAAATCTATTTCGTGAAGAATAAAGAGCATAATCTCACGTAGTAAAGCATTGTATATAAATCGAACAATATTGTACTGTGATGTTTGATTCATTTGTCCAGGGCTTTAGGTATTGATTCTTAAAAAAAACTATTATTTTATGCAATCAACCAGACATAATGTCTTTAAATGGAAAGGCCTGCAGGGTAGAAAGCTGCTGAGAAATGTTTTACAGGTAGAAATAATAAAATAGGAAAGTGGCTGTGAAGCGATATCAGCTCCTTCCAGCCTTTAGTCTTGAGGCCAACAACTGCCTTAGAAGTTGAGGACAACATAAGTAGTGAATAGCAACCTAAATGCTTTTCCGGATCTGAAAAGTGCTTTTATGGTGTCTCCAAAAGGATATTAATCGTAAAATCTTGCTATATACCTTGAACTAAAATGTATCTCTTTATTAGCAGACAAAAACGGTAAAAAACGAAATCAATTCAAGTTAACAGTTACAATCTTGCTATCTAATTGTCCAAACAGCCTTCCCTTGCAATAATTCATCTTAATTTCTGATTTTTCCTTTCAAGAGGATCATACGGTTACTAAAGTAAGGGTTTATAGAATGCAAATGCATGCAATATTTAACGAACGAAGCAGCGGCTGCAAAAATCACAAAAAATGGATTGAACAAAAACCACATTCGACTAGAATGGAGCCTTTCTTGAATTATTTACACTTTAATGTTAATTTATGTGAAGAAAACCTGACATTTGGATTTGTTATTCCTAATCTTTATTAGATTGAAGTTTTTTCCTTTGTTACCGCATCACAGATTGGATGTTTCGTCCTAGGTCATAAACAGTTAAGCAGAAATATCTTCAATCGTTAGCAATTTATAATCTTCGCACAGTAGCTAAATTGACGCAATCAAAAATTCTCTGAATTTGACTTACAATACCTGGGAGCAAGCTCCTTTAAAAAGAATAGGAAATGCTAATTCTGTACATAAATCATTATTTACTGTCGTTGACAATTATCTGAAAATAAGCATTACAGTTGCATACATTGCAGTATATAAAGTTTTGAGAAATTCTCGCACTCTTATGTCCTTTTTGTTGAAAGGGATTTTGGCGGCCTCAAACCATGGGGAGAGCGTTTTCAGTTTGAGGCCAAAAACCTTGTTAGGTGTTGATCAGTACAATAAGAAAATTATAGCCTAATATTCAACCCAAACTCTTCTAGAAATCCTTATGAAAAGATCTTTTTAATTTCATCTACCGTAAATCCTCGAATAAGCCCCAGGGGGCTTATTTGCAAGAATGAATTCTTGGGTGGGGGCTTATTCGAGGGTGGGGCTTATTTGAGGGGAGGCTTATTCAAGGGGGGCTTATTTTGAAGTTTAATTAAATGGAATAAAGATAAAAATGGGCATTTTGAGCTTCTAATTACAACAACTGATATCAATAAAAGAGTTACAAAGTGCTGTGTGAAGATCTAACAAATGTTATAATTTTTTATCATCACAAAAGTCGCTTTTTTGCTTTTTGGTCTCCAGTCAAATGAAGTAATACTGTATAGCTTTTGTCTTGTGGGAGCTTTCTTGAAAAATGATATCATTCTACAATTATGCTTCCCCCAAATAAGCTCCCATGGGGGCTTTATCAAAGGGCGGCTTATTTGCAAAAATGACTTTTTAGGTGAGCGCTTTTTTGAGGGGGCTTATTCGAGTGTGGGGCCTTATTCGGGAATTTATGGTACTATACATCATCGCTTTTCAAGGAAATAAAGCTAATTGCATCAAAGGATTGACCCAATCTGTGGCAGTTACAATCAGGGGCTTAAGATTCGTCACCGATGGGGGCAAAATTTAGTTCAATCATAATCTTACCATCACAGAGAATAAAATCTTGGTCATTTGCTTATCCTATATTCTTTCACTATGTTTACCTTGCGTCCAGTTATAAAAGGATTTTTTAGTTTTGTTGATCAAATCTCCACGCTTAACAGGACAAATGCTCAAAGCAAAATTTTGTTCTTTTTATTAAATGGCATCAAAATTAGAAAATGAACAGAACGTTGCATTACGGAGACACTTTCTCCTTTTCTGTTTACGAACCATTCTCAATCTTCTTGTTTGTTAAATAAAGTTAATTGAATATCATTCAATTCCTAAGGTTAAGCAAATTGATCTCTAATTGGTGTTATCAATAAAGCTGGGGGCACTTGACTGGAAAACTCTTGTGAGTTAATTTGATGCAAAAGTATTCGAAGCAATTTACTTTGAGTAAGCAATTTTTGGTTGGACAACAGAAACAGCCTAAAGATGAAATTTGATCAAAGGAGATCTATCATGTAAAATTCCAATCAAATTTCAGAATTTCCTGTTAACAAGCTAGTTCAGTTGATGCGCCTGAAACATTCACCTCGGTTTGCCGCGATCATGGCAGTTCTAAACGTGATCTGAACCAAGAATATCGGCAATTGTATTTTTGCTTATTTTAGTTGATTTGATTATGACGCTGGAATCTTGGATTTTTGATCACTTTGCTGGGTTAGTCTGCTCAATATGAGTAGGCCTTTAAAACAGCGAAATTTTAGAAATTCAATTGTACGTGGCGATTTTTCTTTACACATATGGCTTCATTGCAATATTGCGTCGACAATTTCTCAAAAAACTGCAACAGATAATAACAGAAAGATTTTAAACTCTACAGAAATAAAGATTTCGTCGCAAGCAATCATAGTTTGCGAATATCGATAATTATAGTTAGGTGTTGGTAAGCTATTTTTCATTCAAAGTTGATCGCCTTTCCCAGGGCAAGTTTTTTACTTCCGTGCTTTTGCTGATTTTCAGCCAGCTGTTTCAGCTCTACAACTCTAGTACATGTCAAAAGTGATGCAAATTTCGTCTTTAAAACTATAGCTATTGATAGTTATAATCCCCCTTGATGTTGAAGTGGACTACAGAGACACTTCTTTTAAAACGATGCCACTGATGTTGTGTTTAGAACATGTCTGATGTTGTCAACGACTCCCTGTCTTTTATATACCAGCCTCAGCCCGACCAAGCACCTTTGCTTCCAAAGACAGAAACCAGCTGAGCTATATCGAGCTTCTTTTTTATCAAACCTTTTTCTTTCATTTTTTCAACTGCATCTATCCAGCGGTTATGCATTTCTTGCCCCTTTGGGCCAGTCCTCACTGGAGGCAGGTTGCCATTTGCATGATGGGCTGGAACCTCAACTCCGTTTGCTGGAGCCACTTTATTGTCCTTTTTCTTATCACCCTTGTTTACTGGCTCTGCAGTATCCCCTAGATTCAGAGCATTGCTGAACATGCCTGGCTTGACTTTCTTTTTCGGTGGCAATTTTATCCTCGCTTTTGCATAGCTGTAGTACACAGAAAAGTTCGTTGCAACAACAGAAACGGGCAATGCAACCATAAGAAGCCCACAAATGGCACATGCTATCCCCACGAACTTGCCAGCCCAGCTAATGGGAGCCATATCTCCATAACCAACCTACGTCAAACGAGAAAAACATATGACATTCGGCATAGCGTTTAGCATCTAGGAGCCATTGGAGGCAGTGTACTGAAAGTATCCCTAAGGATGATCTTTCCAGGCGGGCATTTTTGGAAGAGTGTCAAGTCCCTAGCTGTTTAGTACCTCCAGCCTATTTCTTTCCTTTCTTTAATTACAGCAGCTTCATACAAAATATTTGCATCGTTTTAGAGCATCATTTAGATTATGCAATCAAATTTTAAAGATTCAGGCAACTTTTCTTATGGATAGAGTTGGAACGAGAAACCGTTGCTAACTTGTTTACAAAATTGTATTTGGAGCCAAAGACCAATTTGCGGGTTGAGTGAACTAAATGACCGCCCAGTAAATAAGAATCGGCAAGCAGATCCTGTAAAAGTGTTTTGTAACAGAGGATTATAATGATTTATTGTGTGGTGTAATGGACTAAAGCTAATACGTAGCTTTAAAAGCTCTTCAATGAGGTTTTTTTAGGAAAATATGTAGTTTGTAAAAAAAGTAAAGGATCTAGAATATAAATTTGTGGTACACCACACAAATGATGCTAATTTTCAAAGTAAGATGCTTGCTAATTTCATTATTTGTGAAATTCTTCAATTTATTCCTCCTCTCTTTCTTGCACTCACTGCCTTTTCTCTAACTTTGAGAGAAATTCTTCGCGCAATAGTTGTCGCCCTTTGGTCCTAAACCCAATAAGAAACGCAAGAAAATGTATTTCAATGCTGCAACTCTTCAAAATATCTTCAAAGATATCGTCAATTTAAATATTTATTGCATTGAATCCACCAAAGAAGAACCTGCCTTTTTAAGAGTCAAAAACTCCTTGTTCTTGTTGTGCAGGGGCATTGTGCCTGGTTATTGTGCTCTTAAGGGTAAATCTTGACAAATAGATAGTTCAGGAAATAACGTCTTATTTAATGAAAACATTATAACTTATCAAACTAAAATAAGTTCGTAAGACAAGATGCGTGATTCAGAAAAGGTAATCATTTCCGTCGCTAAAGTGAGGCTTGGAGGGGCCCTTGGAAAAACCGTTGCAAAAACAAGGACATTTTTCCATGTAGGGATGCTGCGCTACTTACAGAAACTTCCGTATGAAATGCTTACGTCTTTCATTACGTATTGTTAGAAGATCCCTTAAAGGTTTACATAATTCTCAGCTCTATACATGAATAGAAAGATCAGAAAGAAACAGGAAGAGAGTCAGAATCCAGCAAAGCCGCAAGAGGAGAGGGCCAAGGATGTCGGTTCTCATGCCAAAATTCCATGAGATTCCGAGTTTCTGTTTCAAAAAAGCAAACATTTGAGTAAATTAAAGCTTTTCGTCTAACACTCTTCAGAGTTTAAAACGTCAGAACATAGATCGAAAACTCTACGTTAGGAATATATCTACCCAGTTATGGATCGAAATAGGCCAATCAGAAACGCGAGCATATGATTGTAGTGGTTGCCCAATCAGTGCCGCTGGCCTATAAAGAATATTACCAATGGAGTCCTAAGGTGAAAACGAACCCCTTTTATCTAAACAATAGCGGTTTTTTCGTGCTTATGTAGATTCTAAAACTGCTAGCTGGTATGATGATCGGGCTTTACCAATAATACGAAACACGTCGAAACATATCGCCATTCGCCAGTTTCTTTTGTCAAACTTTACTACCACCGCCTGCTCTTGATAAACTTTAAAAGGCAGAATGCAATGATAAAGAGCACTAGGCAAAAGAAGGAAGAAAATACCTAATAGCAACAATGGTATTAGGTGACATAAAATTGAAACATGAAGCTGAGAAGTCACTATTCCAAATTGCCTTAGAGACCGAAAAACTAAGGGGATTGAAATCCTTCTCAAAGAGTGTTTGTATTAATGCATCTTGCAACTGTAGGACCCCTCCTTACCTTCACTGCACATGAATAATTTTAGATAAAACAAGAAAGCCTATAATGAACCATATCGTAGAAATAATGAACCTACCGTTGTCATTGTAATCAGAGACCACCAAAGGCTGTTTGGTATATTGTAGAAATCTGTGTCATCCTCAAGGTGGTAGTTTAAAAATGCGAATCCCAATGCCAATATCGTTAGCAAGAAAACAAGTAGCATTAACTCAGGCAAGCTTTCCTTTAGCGTATTGACAAGAACTTGCAGTGCATAATTGTATCGAAAGGTTCTAAATATTTTGACGATTCGAAAGACAGCAAGTAGGCCAATATAGCGCTTTGCATCAGAGGCAGAAATCGACATATCCATGTAAAATGACCAGAGGGAAAGAAAATCAATCCAGTTCATTTTTGATCTGATGAAATGCTTCTTGTCTGGACAAGACCAAACTCGCAGAATGAACTCCAGTGTGAAGTAAGCATTCGTAAAGATCTCAAGTACCACTGCCACAGTTCTTTCAGGAGTGTTTAGCGCTTTGAAATTTTTCATCGAAAACAAGACTGGAGCTAAAACGTAGAGTGCCAACATCAATGTTGTAATTCTTCCACTGACCTGCAGAGAGAAAGTATAACTTGAATCATTTTGGAATTGCAGCACCATCTTTTATTTTTATGAGCTATTTTCTAAAGTCAACATCGTTGTGGTTGAAAATTAGAAGTAGGTGATTTATTTAAAAAATGAGCAAGTTTAGCACATTGTCGACTAGTCTTAAAACTCTTCTAATTTTTTAACACTACAAAGTCTTTAAATGTTCTTGGCTTATCAACAATTGGAAACTTTCTAAGAGATGGTCTTATCCTTTCCTTTTTATATTTTTTTTAATATTGCAGGACTTTGAAATCGAAGAGGATAACCAGGCATTATTATTCTAAAATTTTTAATTAAAAAGAAAATAGAACAATAGTTCGCAAATTCATGATTTTACTAAGTCTAAAAGCCTTCCGAAAATGAACCATCTTAATTTTTTACAAATTCACTGTCATAAAACGGTTAAGAATAATTTGCCAGCTTTCAGCTTGAAGAAAGAGCGAAAGCAATATCTACAGGTTCATTTTTGCGTTGGTTAAGATTCATTCTACCTAGTTTTCGCATTCTGCCTAGTTTTGTTTATTTTTAGGCCTAGTATTGTTGTATTTCCATTTGAAAATATTCTTTCTGGCAGAGGAGATATTCAAAAATTTGAAATGAAAAAAACTTTTATGATTCCTTTCACAAACATTACTTAGGAGAAAAGAACGTACGGTCTAAAAAATTAGTTGATAAATTAAAAAGTTTTTAGTGTATTACTCAGTTTAGAGCAGTTTTATGTAAGACAAACATTCTTTTAGCTTTATTTTAATATTATCTTTTTTCTTTGTGAACTTTGATATTATTTTCGACTATTTTCATCAGTTTAGGGCATAGTTATTCCCTCATTATCGTGCATCTACCATTTGCTTTGTAGATAACCTTACATTTTGTATTCCTGTTCTAAAATTAACAAACTATATTTCATTTTAGCTGTTCCGTATTAGAAACTCGTAAATTTTGCAAGAGTAAGTTTTTCAGGTTTTTTATTTCAATTTTTGCTTGTTTACATTAAACAGCTGGAGTTCATAAAAATAAATTATTACGATTGAATTCTTTGGTAATTTAAAGATACAAAAGAAAAGGTTTTAAAATTTAGGCCTGGTTTTACGCATGAAAACTGCTTTATAGATTTTGTAAATAAATTACAAAGACAAAATTGATCTTTGGAGAGCTCATTTTTCAGTATTTAGCAGATTATCGATGAAATCAAAGAATCTAAAACGAAGAAAAATTCTGCATCAATTTCTTTTTCATTATTATGCTTTATAAGAAATAGTTCACATAGCAAAATGAATCTGGAATCAGCGAAAAGTGTTCGGGTGATTTAAATGACTGCGTATCGGCAATAATGACTGAATGTGCAGTAAGAACTGGCATGATCGGCAACATAATGTTGATTTCAATAACCCTAGTAATAATTATAATTGTATTAGCATTTTAAATCCTGTTTTGGTATAATTTTTCTGCTGACTCAAAACTTTAAAAACTCTAGATATTTAATTTGGTAATAATATTAAAAACGATACGATACAAAGTAAGAAATGATGCGAGCGAGAATTTTTGTTGAGAATTTCTGTAAAGTTGTCTGAACTTGCACATTTTTGCCAATGGTTCTCTAGTTGTGACGGTTAGGTGGCAAAAGAATTGGTTACATGTTTAGCGAGACAGACTTTTTATGGTTATGAATGTGCTGCAGCAAAGATTGATAGTGGAAATTGCCGCAACCACACTGATCTCTCCTCTGAGCTGAATTGATTGGGTTTTGCAATGCAATATACACTAACGTTCAAACAGCATGGGGACAAACTACGAAATTTTGAAGACATGTTATGCAACAAAAACGGAAAGACATTTCAAGAATCTTTTTCATCAAAAGATATGACGGCTTTTTCTAAGAAATTTGCGCAAGACATTATTTATGTGCGCCAAACAATTAAAAAACATCTAAAAAACTATAAAATTTATATCTGCTTTGAGATGTAAACATGGGTGTTCTTAAAAATCAACAACTGTGTTACAAATAGCACTTCCCAATTGCTTTCGGTGACAATAACGCAAATGGACTTTTTGAATAGGCAAATATTTTCGGCTGCTCGATGACTGCAGCTTTTGTGGTATGTAAAAAGTTTTTCGAACAAGAAGATTTTGAAGAATTTACTAAGGGTTGGCAGACCGAAGGAATTTTTCGGCGCTAGATGAAAGGTCCTTTCTGAGGGAACTGGTCGTTTCGAAGTAATTGGTTTAGATCATTTATAATAATAACATGCTCTTTCATTGCCAAAATAACTCGTTGGCGACGAGTCCTGTGGCTTTCCCTTTAGTGTTGCAGTTATAAAAGTAGCTTGTGTAAATTCAATAATTTCATAAAATTGTAACATTTTCGTTGTTTCAGTAAACTTTCTTTGAACCTCAATAGTTTAATTTTGTAATTTTCTTTGTAAATTTCTTTGTTTCGCAAACGTGAATCTAAAAAATTGAATTCGTTTGGACATCTCTAAAAACCACGCAACTCTTTTGCTTAATTGGCTATTATTTAAATAGGAATTGTAAGAGTCCAATGCTTTTATTGTTTTGATTCAAAAATTGTATTTTTTTAAACTTTTTCCAAATTTTGGGGATACCTAGGCCTAGATTATTTGAAAAAGACTGCTCATATCTGTACAGGTTTCTGTTGCAAAAGCGAACCCAACGAAAGGCCCTAATCACACCCCATTGCTATTTTAGCACATTTTAGTTCTGATTTGTTCTTTGGTAATGTTGGTAGCATAACAGGTCTTATAAATAACCATTAGGTCAGGCAAGGGATTTCCACGGTCATAGAAACTAGTAAAAACCCGCAATAAATTGATGGCTAGGCCATATGACCAGTTGCTGCAGGGATCTCAAACATCTGTTACCACGAACAGCGGTTTTAATAAACGAACAACGTCACGACTTGCTTGCGCCATGCTTCTCAAGGTCAGTCACGTAACAGGTTAGCAATGTTGGAAAAAGGTTATTCCTTCCTTCATATGTCCAGGCTCGTCAGTAAAGGGAATGTTTGGGGTGTGAGGAGCTTTTGCCATCTAGAGGTGCCTAGTTGGCAAATTTCCAAACTTCTTGGTAAAGACTCACACATTTTGTCGGATAATGGGACTTGGCAACCCCTCTTTGAGTACCATAGCTGGTGACAAACAATGTATGTTGTATAAAGAACAATTTGATTGCAAACCATGTAGAGTTAGAGCCTGAAAATTTCAGCCTACTCGCTTTTATTCTTCTAAAGAGTAAAGTTCTAATTGCCAGGTAGTTTAATTTTCCTGTTAAGTACGCAGAAACAAAAACAATGTCCAATTCAAGGTAGGAAAATATTGCTTTAGTAAACATCAATAAACCATGGGCGCTTGGTGTTGCAATTAATAAAACGAGGATGACGTCAGGGCTCAACAAGCGCTTACAATTTTGGTAGCAGAAATCGGTCTTTAAAAGCCACAAAGATCAGGGCAAAGATGTTTGTTTACTTGTTACTTAGAACCGAACATGTTTTCCTGGCTGTTGCCTGTGCAACATAAAGTAAATAGGCATTTTTACGTACTCTCTGGTTAGCAGAATATTTTTGACATATGTAGAAAAAGGTCAGTTTCTGTAGTATCTACAAAGTAACTGGTTTCTCGGCACTGCAAATTGAGCTGCAAATTGAGCCAGTATACTGGGTATTTGATATTGATATATTAGAGGTAACAGCGCACAGTGCAAAATTTTTATATATTAAGCAATTCTTGCTTAATGCGGACTTACAAGGGAACTTGGTCCAAAGCTGCATCGATCAAAACTCAATCAAAGCCATGCAAGGTCATTTTCAATCGCATATTTCTGTCAAGCAAAGGCTCTTTGGTCTTGAGATTTTTCTAATTCAAATTTGATTGTAAAATCTTTCGTCAATATTTTTATTGCTGTGCAGTAATGTATATTTCTGTTACTGTACATTTTTGACCCAGTCTGCTCTATATCAAATGCACAACAAATTCTAGAATTTGAATATTATAAAACTATCTTTTTCTAGACACTTATTAAACAATTAGGCATCTCAGTTCACTGCTGCCTCATTTGTATCGTTAGGTGGTGCCCAATAAAGGCTATAGTCGTATATAAATCTGAAATTAATGAAATATTTGCAGGGAAGCTACTTTATAGCAACGTAGCATGGCAGACTCACAGTTATAGCAATTAAAGCTAGCAATCAAGCCTTATTTTGTCATACAATTATTTTAACGGCGAAAAAGTCCCTCAAATTTTGCTCCTTTCTTCAATTTTATTTCATCTCACCTCACAACTGGCTTTTTAGTGATATAAAAGAGCTTCTGATTTACGCAGAAAAATACCTCTTTATGGACCCGTTGGCAACACATCCATGTGCTCATTAGCAACTAGATTATTTTATGACTTGCTCCTCTTGTTTCAATTAGGTTGTATATTTCTTTGAGTGCTATTTTCTTAGGTAAGGTTGTGATTACCGTCAAGATACAAATAAAATACATTTTAAATGTTAAATGTTTGCTATCTTGTACTAGAAAAAAAGGAAGCATAGCAATTTATAATCAAAATAGATTTGGTGAAAGTCAGATAAATGGCTTTGATTAATTCAAACACTTTTACTGAGCTTGTCTTCTTCTTTAGGAGCAACCATGCATTTTTACTTTATTTTCTAAATTATGTGATATTTCCAAGACATTTGTTGTATAGAACAAGACTGTTCAAAGTTTCAACCTCAATTTTCACGATTAATGCGATAATAAGACTATAGCTCTGCTTACATAAGGCTTTGATCACTATATGACAGACCAGAAAATATTAGTTTTTATAAATTGTTCTAAGAAATATACCCACACTTACCATAGCTGCTTTTGAAGAATACGGATCGTCTAAGAAGGACCAAATACATGTCCGAAGCCTTTGCATTTTTGTATTGGCAATGCTATGGTCATCTTCGTCTGATTCAAAATGTGGTCCTTTGAATCCAACGAGTTTCTCTAGCTTGTCCTTGTGTGCTGTATATGACTCCCAGCAGCAGTCCTCCATTTGTGTCTCATCAATACCCCAAAAGAGGAGCTCTTCGTTAAACAACGGACCACAAACATCAGGCGGATAGTGTAATTTTCCTGTTCTGTAATACTGAAGTATGCTAGCGAAACAAGTAGGGTGGCGGTCAAAGAAATACTCCTGTTTGACTTTATCATAAAAAGATGAGTGCATAAGCATCGTGTGGTTCGCAGCAATCCACGCTAATCGAGTCCCGTGCACGGTTTTTAGCGTTCCAATGTGCGTTTCGTGTCTTGTCCCACCGATATTAAAAACCAGTCTTTCTGAATCGACCATCGTATCTCCAAATCAAAACTTGTAATACTCTACAAGGCTGCCAGAATATCTAAGGATATTTCTTGTGACAAAAATCTTCAAAACATCGACGTCAATAGAAGATTTGAATCATTTGAATCATTACAGTAAATTGCTATATTCGCTCAATTCATATGATATCATGGCGCTTTGTCTTTAATAACAGATAAAGCTAGAATATTCGTCTTTTCTTTAATTTTTCTAGTTTTAATCCTTACCTCAAGCAATCAAAATAACATTGTTTACATCTTGAGCTCAAGTTTCTTAGAAGTCCCATGTAAATACCTCGCCTCCTTTCCAGATAAAACTTTTACTCTCGTTACTCTACATTGCCCTGTAGGTCAGTTTTTGCTTCATTCAGTCTTGACACAAAGTACTATCAACAATGGATACTGTTTTTTCTTACTACTAATTAATGTTTCTTTGTAAGCAACAACGTCGTCTTCCAAAAGAATAGAGCTCTTATGCAACAAATGAGACCGTTAATACTGTAACTGCATAATCATACCACGGCATAATCCATTGGGTTGGAGATGTTTGTTTGATGTTCCTCCATGCCAACAATTTCACGGCTGCTTCGTCAGCTGGAATTTTAACCCAATTTCTTCCAAACGCACAACACTGACACCACTTACACGCCACACAGGTAACTTGCATACATTGTTGACAAAAAATTGTTCTATAAGTGACTTCGATGCCTGTAAACGCAGGGTGCGTCAATAGTCACTTCAGATCTATGACATCGAAAAACACTTGTGACTTGATTTTGACGACTGCTGTAGTCAGCATCAAAGTTTGTAACTGTCTGCTTTCCAAAAAAATTCACTTTTGGGTCTTTCCGCAAGGGTGTTTGTGACGTCTTACAAGCAATTCCAATAAATTTCATTGTAAACTCTGTGTTTCATCGAAGTTGTCAATAGGATGACTTTATCGACTGTGCAGACCCCCTTAATTTATGTTAATACGCCAAAACATCAGTAAACACGGGCGATTGTGGAAAAATACATAAAAAATTTATCTCCTAAACCATTTGATGGAGCGCAGTGGACACTTTTTAGTCGGAAACATATTGCTATAAATACTTTGGTTGCCGAAAGCTTACTCCTTCAAACGCTAATTAATGCACTAGGGCCACCGAGAGGATTCGTAAGCCCTGAGGACAAAACTGAAAGCTGAGCAAACAGAAAATTTCTGCTTCCACGCTTTTTGGATTACCTTACAAGAAATTCCAGAATATTCCACAGTCATTTTCTTGCAATCGTTTAAAATGTTTTATCATTATTCAGCAGGCAAACGTTTCATCAAAATTTCTTTCATTACTTTATTGGGCCCTAGAGCTTAAGGTCCTCGGGCATTTTTGTCACCCCACTGGTGGCCCTGTAACGCAGAATTTTCTCCCTTATTGGTTTCAATTTGGGTCATCTTATACATTTTTCTTCGTGCAAATCTTCTGATCTAATGATTGACACTAGAGGCAAGGGGGTGGCTGTCCCCAGTAGTTTTATAGTGAAATGAAACATTTTGGTGCTAGAAGGACTATAAAAATACAATGCTACTTGCTACGAAATTCCAAATCACGACACCAGTATGCAATTATTACGACGGTGGAACATTACGAGTATTCAATGAGTACCCTTTGTTAACCCTTGACATAAGGTTTTAAGTTCGATAGAAGAAAGTTTTTCGGTTATTCTGATAAACGCATTGGTACTTTATCGTGAACTAGAGATTTTAAAAGGTAAAAGAGAGCCTTTCTCTTTAGATGGTGTTGAACTCCATTGGCATGAACAAGTAGTGTCATTTCTCTTAACTCGCTTGATACGAAAAAGTATCTTTTAGTTTGTTATTCTAGAATAAAGCCCCATTCACACCACAGTGGAACCAATGTTATTGTCCGTTGTTTGGAGGTGTCCGCTGTATGGAGGTGTCATCTTATACAAAGAAATGACCATGTGAAATTTTGGGAATCAAATATTTGTCCGTTGTTTGGAGGTGTCCGTTGTATAGAGGTGTCCGTTGATGGAGGTTCCACTGTATTCCCTTTCATAAGAAATCTGATCATACGTTGTTCGTTTTTACCTTGTATTTACATAACTCTGATATAAACCTTTTGGCATGCCAGAAACAATGGTACATTTCCCAGACAAATAATTGCTTCAATAATGCTCTTCAAGCGGTTGATCTTCTTAATTTTTAGCTACTTGTGAATATCTTACGAAGATTGGTTTAGAAAAACGTGTTCAAAGCATCAAATAAATAGCATTGAATAAGCAATCTCAATGGACGTTGCCCAAGTTTTCCGAGCAGTCGCAGAAAATTTTCCCTGGGCTTTACGCCCCAGACTTCTATGCTTCTTTGCAACATCAACCCCACCCCTCCCCCCTCATTAAACAGTGAAGTGTTTGCCGCTGCTCTGACCAGGAGTCTAATGATTGTAAATGAAAAATGGGCTCTACCGAATGATGTCTTAAAAATCAATTAACAAGAAGCCCAGATTGGTCACCTTTTGTCACTTGCAAGAAATTTCTTTCCTTGACTTTCTGAGAACTATTATCTGTCTCTGGCAAATGGCAAGTTCCATTCGAGTGTCAGACAAAGTACCTTGACAAACAAGATTCCAGGTTTTTCCTTTTGACCTAGGTGCACAATACGTAATACCAAGAAAAACATTTTTTCTTTTATTCAGCAACGTGCAGAACTCAAAAGTTTTTAAAACCTATAGATATTTTGGATTTACGAAAAAGAAGAGAATTGCTAATCTTTAAATACAGTGACGGCATTTCTGTTGTTACCCATTAAAGATTTCATACAATTTACCTAGATGCCATTATTGCTTGAAACTTGAAAAGAAGCAACTTTTTCGAATGATGGTATCTGGAGCCAAGAAGTTTTTACAAATTTCACAATGGCAGTCTTTTTAATAAATGATAAGTTCTCTGCATAAATTAAAACAATTACTTTTTCTGATTCCTGTGTCAAAGAGAGCATGTGAATTAAGATGCCTTCATTGTTTTATATTCTTTCCCGTAAGAAGACAAATCAAAATGAATGAAGACAGAGTTATTTGTCATCTTCTGTCGTTGTATTAGTAAACGTTTACGCATAAAGAGATAAGTTTTGTGCAATACTTGTTACTAAAGCCTTAAGACTTCTCAGGGACCTAAGCCAAACGCAGTTTATGATCTCACTATGTTTTGTAAATCAGTTTATATCTAAACTTACTTTATCCCTGACAGATTATTTGTCATGGCGGGTGGTCAATTTTCAAGATTCTGACATGCCATGAAGATATCAACGTTCTCTTCTTTTCATGAAAGTGAAAAATAGCATTACTCTTACCAAACAGTTCTCATCACTGATTTGAAACAGTTTTAGATCGCCTTATTGCAGAGTTAGCTAACAGCATTGTTGAGTGTCAATTATCAATAAATAAAGAGTGAAAACCTCATAAGGAATAATTTCTAAATTGTTTTAATGTTGACAATGTAATCTGAAATTATATCATACTATATGGTTATTTATGAAAAAATGTTAGTAGTATGTTGTGAAATGTCTGCTTTTATCAAAACCATTTTCAAGTTCTGCACCGCCAAAAAAAAATTTCAAATTTTAGCAACGTTGGCTGAAAAGCAGCTTAATCCAATTTTATTGTTTAATAACTGTAAATTGTTCTTTTTATAATGCTTTTTGAACCAAGCTGAAACTATGTACATATCTACATGATGTTAGTTGCAGAACGTGAAAAAATTCTCACATATTCTAACATCTGTATTAGTTGTTTGCTTTTAACTTGAATTGATGGTTTTATTGGCGATGGACCATTTCTGTTCACAGACATTTATCATCAAAAACTACAGTAATTCTCTAGCAAACATTCACATCTTTCCATGGCCATATCGTAGCCATATCTTTCAATCGCCAGATATAACTGGTTTGGGTGCATTTAGAGGAATTCTTTATTAGCTTAGGCATCTCTACCCTGGGTACCAGACTAATCAAGTCATTTAATCCTATATCGGTGTAGATTCTCTTGCAAGTATTACATCTAAAAAATTATTTTTTTGTTGGGGAGACGAACAACCAAAAATCGTCAAAAGTGTGAGGCAACCCTTCATAAAGAGCATGCGTAATAATGACTTAATTTCATGCTCTTTGCTCTTTGGCTCCAAAACAGAGGGCTGCCTCACTCATCAAAGACTACCTCTTGTTTGTCTCTCCAGTCTCCCAAACCAGATTTGCATTTCCAGTAAGGAGTTGTCCTACCTGGGTTGGCTACGTTCAAAGGATTGTTCAATAATTGTTTAATAATTTTACCATTCCAGCGTATAATTGCCATGAGTAATTACAAATCCAAATAAAATGTCCTTTATGGATGGTCAAACTGAGATCAATGTCATATTGAAGATAATGGTCCAACCACAATTTTGGTGATATTGCAATACGCTGAGGCTACTCAACATTATCTTACCCTAAGACGAGAAGATCAACTCGAAAGGCCAGAAGATCAATTCATTATGCTATGATCCTATTTGAAAATGTGATTGATCAGAGCTCTAAACATGATGACCCATGTGCAGTGAAAATGTTAAGCTTAAATTGAACAAAGTAGCCAGCGCACTAGAGAGATTCGAATAAGAAGCTGTGTTGATATGTGAAAGCATAGGAAAGCATAATGTCATTAGCACATGTTTTCTTTCTTAACACAGTACCCACTTTAATTGATATTTATTTGGAGTCAGATTTACCCTTCAAATCATCAGCATTCTCCCTGGTTTGCTACAGAGGTAATGCCATTGAATGCACCAGGTGCAGTCTGCAGTTTTAACATCTATGACTCTTTGGGTCCAAGATGCAATGTACGTTTGCTTAAAGCGTATTATAGAATCTCAGCTATCTTATAATCATGTCATAATTTTTCAACCATTGTAACTAACATTTTCAACCAACATTGTGTGTGTAAGTGTCAATTTCGTCTCCTGCTTTCTTTATCTTTGCTTGTTTTATTTATTAAATTTTGTTCTATAGACTTGCCTCTCTGTAACAGATAGATCAATTTGCAAAGATTAGAACGCTGTTAAAACTTTTAAAAAAAGCTTGAAACGCTAGAGTAGATTTCATGAAATTTAAACCCTGCTTTACACGAGAATGTATCCGATCTGGGTGGGAGCTGATGGATCCGTATACTAATGATTCCGCTATCCAAACAATCTTGGAGTCGCTTCCAAAGGATCCCTTAGAGATCCGATCTTGACCAGATCCCGTGCAAAGAGCTGAATTGGATCTGGTTCAGGATCCTTTTCGGTCTGATCTGGGCAAAGTATCATGTAAACTGGGTCTTTGTCTTTGAATGTTAGATGGAAACAGATTTTGTTGTCAATGAACTTATCCGTGTTCTACAGTTCTAGAATTTGTATTAGTCAAAATTAACATGAGTAATATATAAAAATTACAGCTTACTGACCTACTTAAAGAGTTCAATGAGAACATAAAGAGTTCAATGTTGTAAAGACAATGTTGCAGGCTCTCAATTTTCAGAGAGTCACATTCAATGCTACCAAGTACTCTATGTAAACTTTTTATATATGAATAGCATAAATTAACAGAAATGATGCATGAATTCAGTATAAATAGCAATGAATAGAAAAAGTGGTATTTGAACACCTGAAACGACAAATACCAGATAATGGAGTTGAATCTTCTTATCATGACACAGTGCTAGAACTCTTTGAAATGACTTAGGGCTAGAACTTAGTGGGAAATCTTTGAGACGTAAATGTATAGGACACTGGTTTGGTCAGAGTTAATGCCTCTTTTACAAACGTGGCCGGCTTTACAAACGTGTCCGGCTAGAGATGTTTCTGTTGTTTTTAGGTTAAGAAATTTCATTGCAGAGGGAGAATTTTGCAACAAACCACCATATCATTTTTTGGGGATGTCAACCTTTTGGGATGTCATTCAGCAAAAATTTCACCTTTTTAACATTAAAGCAGTTGTGAGGGAAATTAAGTGGAACTTAAGCTAATAGATGATTTGCCTTTGTAGATATCTTTGCAGTTTGTGCTTAAGCAAGGAATTTGGTATTATTTTGGAAATGCAATCTTAAACAGTATGCAGTTGTGGTAGATAGAAAAGATAAATAGAAAAGACTGATTGGGCAGGGATTATGGTTAATGCTAAGGCATCCAAGCTGCATACTGGAGTTCCTGTGACTTGTGAAAGCTGGATGTTGGAATTCCTTTGGAGCTATAGACCCAATGAATAAATTAAGAACTAAATCAAGATCGCATGTATAATAGCTTTTTCCAATTAACGTGGGTCACTTCATGTCATTGGGAAGTAGCAGCTGTATGGAGGTATGCTAGCCCAAAATAAGAGAGTAAACTGCTTTGGCTACACGCGCAAGTTAACAAGTCTTATTGATGCTAAATTAACGTGGAAAGTTTCAATGAATACGCTGTTACTAGCTCTGATGACTAAATCTGTAACAGCTGTGAAGTATGGGAAAAACGCCACTAGAGAAATCTTTGCCACTCCAAACGTAAAACTTAGTAATCCCACAGCTTAACTTGTAGGATTGTCTAAGATTGATTTGATGCATAATTTCTGATGTTGCGGTGAAGAGGATTTGCTGAATGTGGCAAAATCCACTCCTTTGCTAATGAACTGAAATCTTTATTCGTCCAATTCATGACAAAATAATGTGCTTATTTCCAGTATGCGATGTAGTGCTTGTGAATATCCTGTTGCTGCTTTTCCGATATCCGATTCAACGACAGATTAGGCAAAGAATATGTTGGGGCATTTTTCAGCGAGGGCTGATCAAGAAAGCGTTTAAAAGCGTAATAGATACGAACTCTGAATCACATACTTTTATGTGGTGATGCCTGGCAGTTGTGTAAAAATTGCCAAATATATTTAAGTTTCATGCAATGACTTCCAGGTTCTGTGCTGTTGTTTACCAAGGTTGTGGCAAGTTGATTTTTTGACAGGTCAACCTTCTTTGACAGTTCTTCTCAAAAAACAATAAAACCATAAAGCAAAATTTTTGTTTTTATTGAATAATCATAACACGATTTTAAAACATAATCTTTAAGTGAAACTTTAAGTCCATTCTCAAACACCTTGGATGATTTTGCGTTAAAACCTAAGTGCAGACCCACATTATCGTAAACTTGCAAAATAAAATAGAGCCACTACTCCTTCCCTTTAAACAAAGTTAAAATAAAGTGATGTAGTTGCAGTGTTACAAATTATTTTTTTCGATAACGATCTTTTCTCTGGACTATCGGCATTAATTTAGAATATTTTATGGTTTGGGGAGGGGGGGTGATATTATTCAGTTAAATAAGTAAAAACTGTTTAAGTAAGGCTCGAACGACAGGGTGTTTGTAAGCCTGGTGGTATGTTGCTATAGCAACCATCAGGTGACAGTGTTGAAAATCTGCAGCGAGAATATGTGAATAAGTGTAAAAAACTTAACAACGAGAATATGTTCCATCAAAAATGAATTTTGAAAGATAAATAACAAAAAACATAAAAGGAAGAGTCACAACACCTGGTTGCAACTTAGAGCCTGAACAAGTAATGGTTGTAAGAGTTTCTTGAATGTTTTATCACTTGTATCACGAAGAAACGTTGTATTAGCTTGTACGACGAGGTCTTGCAGATAAGCAACTTATCAGCCTAAAACCCACCAGAAACATGCCTCTATGAAGGAGTTTATTCTTCTCCTAAATCGTTTTATTCTTGGCTGAAGAATTTTAACGGACAATATTCAAATTAAAGCAAATTATATTGCTTTATATCAATTAATTTTAGGAATAATGTGCGGGTAATTTAGGCACAATTTTATCAGCAAAAATCAAGAACAATGTAAAGAGTTATAGATGTTGGGGGCAATTTATGGAAGATTTAGAGACAATTCTGGGGCAATTCCTGGTTAAAAATTTGCAAGAGTTTTTAGATAAAAATGACGATTTTGTATAACATTTCAGGACAATTTGCTTGATTGTGATACTTCCAGGACTGCTGGCTATCATCAGGCATATGTATGTATTTTTGATTGAGTAGCCACACTGAGAAAAAAGGACTAATCGTAGGCAAGATTTTCAATTTTTAGAAATATAAAACAAAATATAACTTACAGGCATACAAAATTATCTCACATAAACGGGGTTTGGCACAACTGTGCTAAATGATGAGGAATACAAAACAGAGCATTCGATTAAATAAAGTTCGATCTAAAACGCTTAGGAGTAATGTCTCCTTATCGCGATTTTCATTTCCAAAGGAAGTTTGGATGAATGCTACGTTAATCGTAACAATAAACTAAATTCTGAAGCACTCGTCATTCTAAAATACATCAGATTATTATTAAATAGGGTTACTATTAGATGAACTTCGATAACGTTTCTACGTAACTACCAGAAAAGTATGACGGGAAATAGACAAGTCATAGAAAAGGCTGCATTACAACTTTTTTAAAATAAAGATATTAATTTCAATAAAGAGGGTAGCATATTATATGCTTGACCTTATTAATGCTTCACAACAGTTCTGCTGTATTGAGATATTGCTCTACATGCCTGTTGACTGGCATTCATTCTTTGGGTTTACTTTCGGGAGCTATTGCAGCCTAAAACTTGTAGCGAATGCCACAGAATAGTTAATCGTAAAGTCGAAAAATGTAAATTTCTGACTGAAATTTGTAACTCATCTATATTACTTAAAATCAACACTTCATGGAAATTTTATATCAAGGTAGCCTGGATAACTTGAGAATTTCAATTTTAAATCTTGCTGTACGGAAATTGATTAAGGATTGAGAGATTCACGGCGGGTTAAGTAAGTCCTTAAATTACACCAAAAGGATGGCACAGAAATTCATTGTACATTCAGTGGCTTCTCGTTGGAAAGATCTCTCATTCCACAACTTAGGCAAATATTTAAAATGTGTCACACAATACTTTATAAGACGCTCTGTTTCATATGGAAAAGAATCAACAAGGTGATATTTTCAGTTCGAAGCCACACAAATGGTACCTTATAACAAAGGCCTCATTTCTAGAACTAGATTTAAGAAGAGGCTAGCCCAGGAAGGGCGTATGTAAAATCCATGCAATGACTGAAAAATGTGCCAATTGAAGAGATTTTCTGACCTCATTGCTTTTATTTTCCGGTTCGATTGAACGAGTACCATAAAATTGACAGTACCGATCAGTTTTACTTGTGCCGGCCATTGATCAAATCTTCGCGAGTGCACATCTAACCTCCCATCTTAGTGCTTGTCTCTTCTTTCCGGTCGGAACTTGGTATCTGTTTTGCTTCATGAGGTGCTGCGGTCGCTGGAACAAACAAAATAACAGCTTAGTTTATTATTGGGCGCGTCGAAACTTAAGAAGTTACGAAGATTATTATTAGGCGCGTCGAAACTTAAGAAGTTACGATATTAATGCATACAACATTATTATGCCGATACCCTTAAAAAGTATAAAACATAAAATGATAATGCGGGTGTCATGCAATTTTAATGTTTCGACAAGCGACAGACAAAAAGGTGGGCTATGTTACGCCTTTTTGAACCACCTTGTATCAAGCAGGCCTAAAATCTGAAATATAAAGAAGATAACATATAACAGGCCTATGTTATTGAATTTCGGTTGTTCGGTTGCTTCTCTACGATAAAACGAAGTTTTTGTCAGGAAACTTTCGAGTAGAGTTTTTTGCAGATGGTGAAAGTGACAAATGCAACTTGTCAAAACACTAAAAGTTTAAAGTTGTATTTATAAAAAACTAGTTGAGCAGCCTAACAAATAGAAACTAACAAAGCCGAATCGACAGTTAGAAGTGATTTTTATTTACCTCGTAAACGTGACAATTCAGCATCTGCTCCTGAAATAAAAGTATCAAAAATAATAAAATCCATAAAAAAACATAGATTTCAATATAATTTTAAATTACATGTTTAAGCTAAACAGTTCATCAAATGGTAACAGGTATTTTTGACTTCACCATCTCTAGTATCCTATGATTACAAAGAAACTGATCCGGTTCAATTAAAAACATTTTTTATTCGTACAGCAAATTTTAGAGCGGACATCAGATCACATAAAGAAAAAGCACATTCACTGCTAAAAGCCTTGAAAGACCAAAGCCAATTGATAAGACTGCATTCAACCATTTCTCATACATCTTTTTAAAATGTAGCATATTGCGTTAAGAGCCATTTGTTAATGCATCAAAATTTTCAAGGAAAGAAAGAACTATATTGGCGACATGTTTCGGATTATTGGTAAAGCCCGATCGTCGTTCCACCTAGCAGTTTTGGAATCTATCTACATAAGCACGAAAAAACCGCTACTGTGTAGACAAAAGGTGTTCGTTTTCACCTTAGGACTCCATTGGTAACATTCTCAATAGGCAAGCGGCACTGATTGGTCAACCTTTACAGTCATGTGCTCGTGTTTCTGATTGGCCTTTTTCGATCCACAACTGGGTATATATATTTCCTAGCGTAGAGTTTTCGGTCTATGTTCTGACGTTTTAAACTCTGAAGAGTGTCAGACGAAAAGCTTTAGTTTACTAAATGTTTGCTTTTTTCAAAGCCATTTTGAAAGAAAGAACAACAAATTTTAGATTTTGGGAAAATAAATGAGAATGGAAGGATGATATAGTCACTTATTGCTCTTTTTTTTGCTATTGTATCTTGAAAATTCCTTACATTACAAATTACAGTCGACTTCTTACCCTCACGTTCCATCTCAATGTGTCATGTCTGCTTTCCCCCGGTACTCTTTGTTGTTTCCATTCATGCTTGAACTGATGATACCTAACAATGAAGAACAAGAAATGCATAAGATTGAGCTATTCAATCATCAACTATATTTGCATGTCAAATTAAAATACAAAAACCACGTAAGTCTTAGTAAACAAGAATGAGATCTGCAAGCCGGTGATATGATAGAAGAAAACAATTCTAGTATATGATTTTAAGAATGGAAAAAACAGCACAACATGTTTATCTTTCATCTTTTTCCTTGACATTGTACAGAATTTCCAAAAATTCAGAACTTGCCAAGTAAAAAAATGTAATCTTCAGTCTATGTAAGGACATTTTATAGACCAAATAAGTTTTTTCAAATGTTGGTCCTAGCATATCCTTCTCGAATACCATCTTGAACACCCTTAGACCTGTTGAAAGAGTCTTTTATAACCATGTGTTTTAAGATTAGATGTAAATAAAATAGTGCCACAGAATGAATTTCATTACTTGACTGAAACAGTAAAAAATCCTGTTTGTGATTTCCTGATTAACTTCGTTGATAGGAAAAACAGATTTGTAATTGTAGTGCGGAGAGAAACTTGGTTCAGCTTAAGGTAGAATTTACATGTTTATATCCCCTTTTATCTGCGTCTCTTTATCAAGAGGTGATCTCCCCAATCCAATTACAATATTAGCCTCTCCTACGCTTATGCAAATTAATTGGATGAAAAATATCACAGGCTTTTATCTAAGCCCCTATCTTCTGTTGAATAAGTATTAACAATTACAGTCAAGATGTAAAAACAGAGTATTTGGGAAGACAACTCATTAACAATTAGGAATATGCAAGACTTAGCTTGGGATTAATTTGAACAATAGCCGATGGTTAATTGCTTAGAAAGGTGAACAAGCTTAGAATAAACACAGTGGTTACCCAGACATTTGTGAGCTAGTATGGGTATGATTGGAGGGGGAAAGAGACCCTCGTTGTTGACGAGGTATTCGGGATTCAAATACACGTATCTTTCGGTACAGGATAATAGGATTTTCTCTGTTACTGTCCATTACAAAATTTCGCACTTTGGCTCAATCAAACACTACAGAAAGTGATACAAAGAACTTCCCCCATAATGAAAGACTCACATCTTAGTGTATGTTGACAATGAATATATCTGCAAAACTATTCGAGGTGTTATTTTCAAGCCATTTCCTATATATTATGTGATAAGCATTAAGCAAAATAAGGTAGAGATCAAAGATATCCATATTATCATTAGCAGGCTTTCATTAAGATTTCGGAATACGTGTTACAAAAAAATTACAAATCCTTTATGATGTCTTTGAAATAAATAAATTAGAAATCTTGCAGATAATATCAAAACAGCAAGCAATATTCACTTCTGAAAAAGAAGAAAAACTAGAAAAAAATTCAAAAAGGTGGCATCGATAATAATACCAAACCTGTTAACGGGGTCGAATTTTCTACTTCTTCCTTGTGTTGGTGGCGCTGTTGATGGTCGAATATCTAGATGAAGAATTGAATTTAACATACATAAAATTTTTTTGATATTCAGGCACTCTGAAAACTTAGACAATACATCAAAATTTCAAAAATCTACAGTTATCTTAGAAATGAAGGAGCAAGCAGCAGAATTGGTCTCCTTGCCTTTTGGCAGTAAATAATGAGAAACGCAAAAATTGAATAGAAGTTGGAAAACAAAACTTTTTATTGGAAAACACTTAAAGAACAAAAAAGAAACAAACGAAAATTTGCAAATGAGACAAAGTGAAATTACGACAGCAGTAATCAAACGAGTTTGAATCGTGATGAAATTGAGATAAATTTTGTCATCAACAAAAGTTTTGCTTCTCATCACAACTATTCCGCAAAATTTAATCAAAATTTTTTTTGAAAAGCGTTTTCCTTACCAAAACTTGTTACTGTTAGCCTGAATCACCCTGCTAAAAAAGGCTTTTTACTTTGGAATTTTAGCTTTTTGACGTCATTCATTATATTTAGATCTTTACTCAGATTCAGCTATATCTAATCTTGAAAACATGTATGCTTCCCCCAGAAAGAACCCAAGTATAGGTGTTTAAACTTTTATCGCTTTTAAAAATTCCGCAAGACTCAATTCATAACTAGTTAAACTCAAGTAGGGAATCAGGTGTCAAGTAGAATTCCAGAAGCTTTTTTTATTCATCTGGGTATTTTATGTTTCGCTATTACTTAAAATTTTTTTGGCCAATAATTCTCAACAAACAAAATATCAGAGGGTAAACCCTTGAAATTGTTGCACTAAAACTGGCGAGAAAATTGCAACTATAAAATATTGAGAAAATTGGCACCGAATTAAGAAACTTAATGCAATAACTCTGCCTAAAGTGGACGTCCTGATTAAAAAGTGGAGATCTCCAGGCGCATCTTGCTTTTGTTAGGGGGGGGGGGGTTAACTTCCACATACACGAGTACGGGATGTGCTATTTTTGGGGTACCTTTTTTCCGGTAGAAAATAAATTTTGGATTATCAATTTTAGTAAAATCAAACATAATCATAAATTTTGGGACTTATTTTTAGCATGACCTTAAAATTTGGGGAATTGAATTTTAGGGAATTCATTTAATACTGAATCTAAATTTTGGGGCAGGGTTTTTGAAAAATTATAAATTTTAGGGTAGGTTTTCATATTTCAAAATGGCACACCCCCGTTCCCTGCCTTCCCGGTTGTGCCTACAAGAGAATTAATAATTATCCAATGAAAATGCATTGTTGCGATTTCATGCAAGCTGCTCTTTATTCAATAGTCAGATCAACGTATGATTGCATGCCTAAATGGAAGCGAACTGGCAAATATTTTTAGCATCGGCCTTTTAGCTCAGGCCATTCCTTTCAAGAAAGCCTTTTACATACAAGTCTTAACACAACTTCTTAACGGGTACAACTGTATAAAAAAGGTAGAAAATAGCTAAAAAACAGAATATTTGTCTGAGAGAACTTACAAGATGGAAGATGCCTTTTTTCCATTTTTACAAGAGACGAAGCATCAGAAACTGATTCTTGTTCTGAATGGTTTTCGTCACTTAGACTTCTGATGGGCAATGATCGCAGCCTTTCCTCCAGCAAAGTTATATCTGATGCTTCACTTTCATCTTCTGTGTGTGTTTCATCAAAGACCCTCGTAACACCATTTCGTTTCCTTTGATATAAGAAAATTCCAATTAAAATCACAATACCTTCCCAGAATTTTATTGAATTTGAAGATAGCATATAAAGGCAGGAACATAGCATACACAGGTACTTTTCACCCGTTACACCTCAAAGTATTAACGTTTGATATTATCACTTTTGATATTATGAACCAGTAATCTTCTTGCTTTCAGCTCAAAGATCGATACAAAACAGCTCTTAGTCACTACCTATTATGACTGCATACAATATGAGAAAAGTGTAATTAGGAATACCAAAAATATATCTCTTGAGCAAAGCAATCAAAAAATGTTCATTAAGCGCAAAAGGACTGGGCATGAATGAGTTGTAAATATCAATGCAACCTTGCAACTTTTCTTCTTGTTACTTGGGACGAAGTTGTTGACTCGAGGTTCGAATCCACTGTACTTAAAGTTGATTCTGATAGAATTGACGGTGCCTCCCTGTTTCGAAATTCTTGAGCATAACCAATGTTTTCTTTTTCCTCTAAGTCATAAATCTAGAAAATTCAATCTAGGTTAGGGAATTTCATAAACACTTAACATTTCATTTTTTCTTGAAATTTAGAAAACAAACTATCAACCTCGTTCCAAGACATTGATTTTGATTAAGATATGTTTCAAATCTACAATGTTTTAAGTAGCATTCTAGAAACCTTATTCGCTGCCCCCATTCTCACCCATTTCTTGAAAAATTCTTAAGTTTTCTTGAATTCATCTGCAGAGTCTCACTCTTTCGAGGATGGAAAATAAATTTAATGTTTAATAGAAAACAAAGAAACAGTAAGACAGAACAACGCATTTAGCAACATATTATTGAAGAAGATAAAAGCAGGAAACCTATCGTACAAACAAGACAATTATTCACATGTTGTACCTTAGATTTTGAAAATGGGACTTTGTGAGACACCTCTGTCCACTTTGGAAAGTTTTGAAGTGGTTCTGAATTAAATGAATCGGCATCATCTAGGAAAAAAATAAAACGTACATGGTTAATTAAAATGAATCATAACGAAGCAAGCACAAAACAAGATACTCAGTTTCAATCAGGTCGTATGCACTGGTCTGGAAATTTAGAGGAAATACTCAAAATTTTAAACAAAAATAAATCTGGGAGAAGTTGAGATTATAAAAGAAAAACTCTGAGTTTATCAAATTTTCTAATGCTGTCTATTTGGTATAAGAATGAAATGCATTCTGAAAAAATAGTTGTCACAGCTTTAAGAAATTCTACATGATTTGACACGGAATGGGCATTTGGACCAATGCAAATTTTGAAGGATGAAGCAAAGCAAAAACTTGCATGTTCAGCTAAGTTCAGTTTGTAATTTTTAAATATTTTAACAATCAAATTTGATAATGAAGAAAGTATTCAAATTGCCAAAGGAAAGTAAAGATGCTGAAGGTGGACATCAGCATGGGCGTACCAGAAAACTTCCCTTTCAACAAGATATTTCTTTCCGTTTTTATTCGTATACATTATAGAAACAAATAATAACAAAACTTAACCTTTTTGAACAAGATTAACAACCAAGAAATAAATAACAAAGTATAATGCCCTTTTCAAATTTGCACAAACTATAAGCAACCATGTGTGCTCATTATCTATCTAAAATTAACATTGCCAAGTTGTTGAATCTTACTTGTTCCATATCCAATTCAATCCTTCCAAACAAAACCTATTTAAAATTATTACTGAAATTGTGCTCTAAAACCTTGCACATGAATTATGCCTATGCAATGTAATGTGTAGTTAAATGTTAGTAGCTTTCTAACGAAATGATCTAGATAACAAAATTGAACAAATCCTCCTGCTATCCCAATGAGCTGGTCATATACATTTTTTACTAGTCATATACAGTTTGCTAGACCTGTGTGGCCTTGTCATATACATTTTTCACTAGGGTTTAGCTTTGAATCTTGTATCTACAATAAAACCCATACTTCAAGATCACCTTGCTTTGACTAGAAATTTCCAGTAAACCACTTGATCAACTCTTTGGTTAATATAAAGAGCTGTTATTTATGACATGAACAAATCTTTAAAATTGTGATTATATAACTTTATATTCTTAACTGTGATTTTATTTTTCGCAATATAGCTAGTCTATGCAAGAATATAAATACTGCTTAACATAATATCTAGTTTCAAAAACGTAACTCTGTCTGTGGAATAATCAGCCTTACCTGTAACTGAAAAGCTTCCATCAGAAGTGTTTGACAGTTCATATTTGATTAGCTCATCCAAATCTGAAATTAAAGACAAACCCTTTAAAAATTAGCTCTGCCCTAAAATCTTTGGATGAAGCAATAAACATTGAAATTGGCAACAAGCTTGTTAAACAGGTTAAATATGTCTAGATTTTGGTTCTCTTTTGGATGAGAATCTTAAGTTGAAGTATCATAGTCAAAATAAGGTGCATTTTACATTGTGTCTTCCTCATTTCTCTGATATGGAATTAATATCTGGGGCCTTACCTATGACATCCATACTATCATTATATCTTTTACAAAAAGAAAGTTTTTGGAACTATTGCTTTCAAGAATTTAAGATCTACATCTTTTCCAAAAAATTGCAATTTTCTCTAATCTAAAGATTGCTTACTTTTGTCAATGAATCTACTAACAGGTTATATATATTACAATATTTTTACAATAGTATCATATTTTCATAATACAAGTCAGGCTCATTAGGGTGGAATTTTTATGACACAGTCAAATGCTTTGCAATATGGTTAGATAGCAGTCAGATACTGGAATAACATCCAATGCAACATAAAAAAATTCCCCTTCAGTGATTAGTTTCTGTTATTGTTAAAAATTATTTCTATTCTCTACCAAATAAAAGGCCTAAGTCATTGACTAAAATAATTGATTTTGCTAACAATCTTCTTGTGAATGGTAACAAAACATGATTTTGGATGGTGGGCTTTCGGGGGCAGCAGGAACAGGCCTGGCTGTAAAAGTTATTTGTAAATAAAAAGGAAAGAAACCAAGAAAAATTGATTTCAATGTTAGCTATAGGCTTTTTAATTAAGGAAAGCAATCTACAGCTCCCCTCCAGCATTTGAGGAGAGCACTGAGGGGAGCAAGATATCATGGCTCTCCTCAAATGGTCAGGCCTGCATAAGGCCAGTATGGATTTCATCGCAGCTGCACTCCCAAGATATTTATGTAAAATTATGAGTGCACTCTTGCACACCGAATGATGAGCATGGCTTTTTGTTGTTTTTAGCATGGCTTAAAATAACAGGAATTTTTAAAGAATGTAGAATGACTTTTTAAATTTGTTTGCAAAAGAAATTGAACAAAGTATGCCATACTAAACTGAGTGATCCTCTTGAGACCTGGGCTGCCAAGAAGTTCCAGGCAAAATTTAAAGATGCAGCCATGCAAGCCAAGGGAGCAGAAATTTTTGCAACCAGATCCTTAAATTCAGCTTGAAACACAATTTAGAATAATCCTTGCAGTCAATTCTTGCAAACCTTAATAACGATTAACCATTTTAGGACCCTTTTGAGGCCCCCTAAACCCAGGGTCTGCGGCATTGTTCCTCTATCTCCCTCTTGGTGATACAGCTTTATGATTATCGTGTTGTCGGCCTTTAAAAAAATTATTTCTAGAACTATTCCTTTGCTTGCTAAACCGCTAGGAATTTGGATAAGATTTTTGCAACTTTCAACCATTGAATTCCTCTGTGAGGGAAAACTGGCATAAACTGGTTAAATGCCAAAATAAAACACTGACAAATTCAAGGATCATTGGGAAATTTGGTGCACAATCAAATATGTACACTTATCACAAGTGCACTCTAGGACTCTCGGGTAAGAGCATGTGCACTCCCAAGATCTGATCAAAAACTGCCATGAAATCCAGACCGCTTCTCTGGGGCTCGAGTGAATGCTTTGAATGTTCTATACTTTGATTTGTGCTGGGTGGATTTGGATACTTTTGGTATGCCTTGAGAATGGTCTCGCCATCTAGAGCAGGGGTAGGCAACCCATGGCTCACAAGCCAGAGTCCTGGCCCCAGAAGAGAATTTTTTGGGCCCGCAAAAGGAAAAATACTGTATCATAATTTTTTCTGGTTGGCAAAGATGATTCTCTACAAAATCTTTAATATCAAATGAAACATATCAATTCAAAATTAGATTTTCTAATGTCTAAATAAACCTGTTCACTGTCTGTGGTCACAAATTCGTCATGCTTGAAGACAAAGCACAGAGTCTTTGAGAGACTGTGCAAAAGTTAACAAATGCAGCAAGAGCTCACTTAGAGTAATTGGTGTTCACATAAATCAAAGTGAATGGTTTGAGCTAAAATGCCGATGCTAAACATTGATTGGTGGATAATTCTGTATTCCTTCCTAGTAACATTTCTTCAATCCCTGAATCACATCCTTTTTAATCTTGGTTGGAATTTTCAGTTTTCCATTTTGCATACCCTTGTTACAGTCTTATCTATCGTTGCAAACTATCATTATTGTTATTATCATTCTATTAAAACTATTGTATACTTATTTTCCAATTACCTTCGGCCTGCTTGAAGATAAGGTTTGAAGGACCTGGCCCAGTCACCAAAAAGGTTGCCCACCCCTGATCTTGAGTGATTTTTAAAATGTTCTTTTTGGATAAATCAACCTCCCTACATTTGACTATAGGCCTAATATATTAAAACTGAATGATAGTTAGAACTATGAACTACTACCAGCCACTTATAATTATCAACCACACTTAACCTCTGTTTTGATTCCATTAAATTAAATAACAAATTCCCTTACTTCCTTTTCAAAATCAAAAATTATCCTTGATACTTTCCACAATGGCTGCAATGGTTTTAGCATCGCTCGTTTTTGCATGCGAATCGCTTCAATAAATGCCGGTCTACTCTGATCGTAAATCAGCAATGTACGGGTTTAAACTTTCGAATAATTGAGAAAAAAAATTCAAGAACAATTACCTTTCATAAAAAGTCTCAATTGGTCATATGGAATATCGCCATAACCAAGTTCTTTCAATTTTTTTCGCACTTCATTCTCTGTGAACGAAATACTCTCCGCCATTTTTTGAAGTTGAATTTGAATTTCGTTAAAAGCCTCGTTTTCATTCATATCCCATAACGACGGTTTCTTTGGTTGCTATGCTACAATGGCTGCACTGAAATACACTCTCTTTTTTTATAAGAACCAGTAAATTTAAGTTCAGGCTGATTGTTCTTAATTTTTTCGAAAATCTGAGGCTGGATTGTTCTTAATTTGTTCTTAAATTAAGAGGGTGTAAGCAGTGCTATTGCTAGCTTTTTGCTCTAAGGAGGTGTTCAGGCCTCATTTGCCAACAAAGTGAGTGAGACAGCCTTAATTTGCTGACAAATTTGAATATCCACCGAAAAAGCACCCACACATCGCTAAAAATCCTCGATTTTGGGAAAAAACATAGTTCAAAATTGCATTTTGCAGTAGCTCAGCCTCAGCTTGTTCTTAATTTGTTTTTAACTTTTGACCAGTTTTGAGGCTCGTGTTCTTATAAAATTGTTCTTATAAAAAAAGAGTGTATAATACACAGAATAGTAAGCGAATAAATTGAGTACCAGAATGAAATCAATTAGATTTGATAGTTAAAAACAGGACGATTCGAGCATGTACTCATCATCAATGGCTACACTAGCCAGATAGCCGGATCCTGATTTCAAGTCTTTGGATATCCAGACCAAAGCCAATTGAAAAAGCCCTTTCAAAGACTATGTCCAGACCGTCCAGACAGGCAAATGCTAGCCTTGGCCTAATAAGAACGTACAGTAGTTTAGCTCTATTTCTTTATTAGCAATGGAGTTATGAAGTATGGTGATAGAAATGGACTTGCTCTGGGTCCAAGTACCCAATTCTAAAAAATAACATTCGATGGCATATTTGAGTCAGGGTTAGATTCTCATCCTTTTTAGCAAAACAACTTACCTATGTACTAGAATCAAGCAAAGCTTCATACAAAGTAAACTTGTTGTAAGGATATTCTTGGGGAGGGAAGGGGGGTACGCAGTGATTATTTCCTCAGTAAAGGACCCCTTATATTATTGACAGGCCAGATACTGTATTTAATATTCCCCTTACGAAAGTACCCGGACAGTTCGAAGATCGATTGCGCTTTCAGAAAAAAACAAATTTAGGATGGCGAAAACGACTTTCTAACTTAGTGATAATAATTTTTGAGAAACCCTTCCAAAATAAACCAGAACATTAATATTCTGCAAAATATCTGCGCTTTTTATCTTATATCATTTTTTGTTAAAAGTATAAACCTTTGCGCTACAAGCCTTACGCAAATTAACTGATGTCAAATAAGCAGAAAACAGCAATGTCAGGTGACTTTAACTCAGTTAAAATGGGCCAATAAAACATTGTTTTTTTTTATAAACTGCTTCTTGAGACACAAATATTTTCGAATAAAGAGGACGTGTTTACTCTCAGTTTGGAAAAATATTTGCATGGAGATGCCACCGATCCATTGTAAAACATGCATCACATATGGTAACATTTTACGAGATAATAAACTTTCTTGCAAAGCAGACATATCATTCAGTGCAGGGCCATAAAGACATATTATTTCTTTACCTCTGAAAGTCTTGGTGAAATCGGTCGGTACGAGGGTACATTCACAATTCTTTATCGTTTTCCTTGCAATATTTATCGACAGCTTTTAAAATTTTAATTGTTTATGCACAGTTTTTGCAATTTTGCGTAATGATGCTAACCAGTTTCGATGCAAATTTGGTTAGGGCGGAATGCTCAGACGTTGGTGTCACTGACTTTGAAATTTGCAAACAAATTTCTCTAACAACAGATACGCAACCAAATTCGAAACTGTCCGGATACTTTCGTGGGGGGGAGTGTATGCTACAAAATGTAGAAAATTAATATGTAACAAGAAGAAGTATAATACAAATGCAAAAATAACATAAATGGATTTCCTGAAATTGCATAACTTGTTTGCGGGTAAAAAATTCACCAAAGGTTGGCAAACCGAAGAAGTTTACGCCGTCAAGAGACGAAAGGTCCTTTCTGAAGGGAACTGCAAAGTAATAGATGATGGCTAAATTTAGGAACATATGCAAAAACGTGGCTATAGAAATACAAAGTTTAAAGCTTTATAAGAAAATATGGTCTCTCAAAGCAAAAATTAATCGTCGCCGACCGTCGCCGACTGTCGCCGACAAGTATTGTGGCTTTTACTTCAAAGTTATGGAATTTTCATAAAATTATAACGTTTTCGTTGACTCAGAAAACTTTATTTGAGACTTAGGAATTTGATTTTGCAATTTTCTTTTTCAATTTCTTTGTTTATGCAAATGTGAATATAAAAGATTGAATTCGTTTGGACACTGGCACGAAGCATGGAGGGGGACGGGGGAGCATTGCCCGCCCAACTATAATTTTTTGCCCCTCTGTGGCTGTGCAAAAACATCTAGAAGGAAAACATGTTTTTGTCTGAAAACTTAGGCGTCTTCCTACATGACTATCGAAAAAACGTCGTTCTCTTCAAAGTCTGTGCATATGTGCAGACTCTACAAATATTACCAAGACTCTACAAATCTCAAGATATTAAATTGTTGAAGGTTCTCCAACATTGTTACTTCTTGCCTTCAAATAACAAGCAACGAGCTCCGTCGCTTCGCTCGGTTGACAAACCGATCTTAACTCGGCATTGCCTGCCAGGGACGTCGCAAAAGGCGCTTTCCCCCATACTAAGAAACACATAAAAGCAGCAAATAAAATTACGTATCTTTTAAAATCGAAAATCGAATTTGTCCCAAAACTTAAGTGTAGTTGTGTAATTTAGTCGTGCATTTTGGTGTCAAAACGTTTGTCACTGTCATTAAAATGCTTACTGGTATTTCTTTAGCATAACATTCTCCAGAGACTAAAGATATGCACCAGTGATTGCAAAACGGCAAAACGACTAAACATTTCACTTAACTTTTGTTTCTCCAAAAGTTTAATGAAAAGTTTAGTCGTTTTGCCACCCTGTTTAGAGTTGTTTAGTCGTGTTGAGTGTTGTTGAGCAAAGTTTGATCCTGGTCAAAAATTTTTAGCGGTGTTTAGTGTTGTTTAGCAAATGTTTAGTCGTTTTGCCACCAATTAAACATTTGTTGTGCTCGCGCAGGCGCACTAGCTGTAAAAATCCAAAGGTTTTCATCTGTTTTCGTTGGTTTTCCTGTCTCTACGTGATTCAAAAAGCCTTTATGAGACATCTGCATATCTCGTTGTACGCAACTGTGTCTTCTCCAACAGTCAACTTTGTTGTCAATGTGCTAAAAGTCTTTTCTTTCCGCGTCGCTTCATCCAATTCTTATTTTTATCCACTGCTGGTGCATGCAAAAAATTAAATCAAAAGCAAATTCCTATGCACGATCCCCTACAACCCAATAGCTCGCAGTTCAAACAAGTTGAGTGAAGTTTAGTGAAAAGTTTAGTCACGTTTTGCCACCCTCGCTAAACTTCGCCCCGCTTCACTAAACAAAATTGAGTGAAATGTTTAGTGAAATGTTTAGTCGTTTTGCCAGGGCTTTAAACTAACACACTTTTTCTATAAGAATACCTAATTTTTAACAGAGCCTCGATATTCTTAAACTTTTAAGATTTTGAGCCACAGATTATTCTTAATTTATTTTCAAGTGACATAATATACAACCGTTAAAAGTCCGAATACATCTATTTCAAGACATAAAACGTTAAACTCGTATTTGTTTTGCTTTCCAAAAAACTCAAATAAACAAAATATTTAATTCTTGATGAATCCTGAGTCCTTGTTATTCTTAAATTTTAGCGATGTCAAAGTTTGTCTCAAAGTGAAATATCTTTAGACAATAATTATCGAGTATTGACCGTTACGGAAAATAATAATTGGTGTCTTATGTAACAAGGATTATATCTTTACTATCTATGGGAGAAAAGAATATAATTCTGTGGAGGAAAAATAACGAAGTTCACCAGAGGGTGCATTGTGAAGTCAAGACATGGTTGTCTATTTTTATGCCCAAGACCACAACCCAAGTTGTGACAAACTTGGCCAAGATATCATATTATCAGCCCAACCCCCCCCCCTTCCCAAGTTCACACATACAAACTAAAAGTTGAAAACCAAAATATGACACACTGAATTTGGAAAAACCCGCTTCGGTTTATGTCCATATTTACATTGGACTCGCTAATTACAATTTATATCTACAAGATACAAAAATACATTTGAATCAAAATAGTATAACTTTATGCATCAATCAAGAGCTTTATTTTTGGCAACTAATAAAAACTGAACTAAAACGACAAAAACTGAATTAAGATAGAACTACTATCTATAATTACGAACTTTATTTAGCGATACTAGAAGCAGATAACCGCGAGTTTTTAACTGTTTGATGTCTCTAAGAAACGAGAAAATTCAAATTTGCTAAAATTTTCTAAGAATTTTTTAGTCTTTTTCGAGAACTCCTTTGATCAGGTTCCTTTGTGTTTTTTGACAAGTTTAGGCTGGGCTTGTCGCGCAGTCACACTTATCTTATTAAAATGTCTGCCAGACTTCGATCTGTCAGGAGGGATTTGCAACTTGGCTGCCGTGAGTTTAGCTTCACGGTGTTAGTCTTACAATTTCACCAACTGAATTCAGTTTTACCCTAATAAAACTGAATACGCCAGCTGATTGAATGTGTCTAGTTAAGAAACTTCTGCAGAAAAAATCCAAATTTGAAATGATTTACTTGCACATCGTTAAAATTCTGAATTGAAGAAAGAAATGTTGTAGGTGCTATGTCAATTATACAAAACCGGAGCCTGTCCTTTTACAAGATATTCTAAGCTTTGTCATACCTGTCCTTAACCAATCAAAACACTAAGCCCTATTGCCACTTCTCTCAAAGATCTCCTAAAACGGTCGTGAAATTACCGTGTCATTTTGGCAGGTGAATTGACCAGGGCATCAGGTTACGTAACGAACGGTGAATGAATTACAAAACTAGTTCTCCATTAATAGTTGGCACGATTAACTTTTCCAAAGTATTTAAAAAGTTTTTACCAAATTTCTAAGGTACTTGGGTTATCATACATTCTAAAAAACGGATTTTTCTGCAAAACAAATTTGCATTATTCACTATATTTTTGGTCCTTTACAATCCTCTAAAAATGTGACATTACCGACATATGATACAGAGAGAAAAAATACGTATGTATATTCGTCAACAGCAATTACATCGTCTAAACGAACATAGTGATTTTGCACCAGCAAAAAATCAGTTCAAAGTATCCATTTTTCTTGACTCTTGCAGATGGTACTTTTGATATAAAATATCACATTAATACGTTATTCTCGTTTTTTTCGTATTGTCATCACCAGATTGAAAATCCTGCATGACAATAAATTGAAAGCCCTGCTTTCACGCGTGCTAACGAAATGATGTATAAGAATACTGGCTATCATATCTTGTCAATTGGAGGAAGTGTATAAGATTCGTAGTCCATTCTATCTTTCGATGCTTCGTCCAGCTGAAATAAGAAAAATATACAAATGTCAGGTCTTGAAAGGCAAGGTTAAAAAATCTAGAAATTGAATCAAGATATGTATGAATTATATCATCAATCTAAGATCTTCTTAGGCAAGTACCGTGAATCCTCGAATTGGCCCTCAATCGAAAAAGCCCCCCCCCCCACCTTCTAATAAGCCCCCGCCCTAGAACAACAAATCGTCAATAAGCCCCCCCTCCTCGAATAAGCCCCAAAAGCTGCCGTAAATCCTTGAATTGGCGCCCCTCGATTTGTTGATTTTTGCCATCTGAGGGTGCCTTTGACGTTACATTGAATTATTTCAGTGGCATGTTTAAGAAAATTTTATAAGCCCCCCACGGATAACCCCATCCAAAAACATCAAAAATAAATAAGTCCCCAGGGGATAATTCGAGGTATCACGGTAATGATAAAATTGAGGGAAAATGAGCAAAACAAAAATAAAATTATTTGAATTCTAAATGTGCTGTTATATTGGTTGGCATATTATGATATGCTCAAATATCAATGAAAGATCAAAGAAAAAGTGATAGTAAGTTCTTACATTTTTATTGCTCTTATCTTTGTGCAAGAGTGATGGGAACTTTGGGTTGTACGTGGATTTTGAAGTTGCTATTGGGATTTTTGGTAATGTGTAATGCTTGACTGATGGTAGAGTTTTTGCGATGCTCTTTTTAGGCATGCCCAAACTGGATGCGTTCATCTCCTTATGATGCGACGTTTCTGGGAAGTATATATCCTGTTGCAAAAACAAAAACTGTTAGATGATCATGAAGCAGAATTTAAAAGCACTATGTCCCGCTATTAAAGCGTTCAGGCTTAACAATAGACTTTGCAGGGCGTTTTTGATCGAGAAACCAGTGAGAATTAGCCGATTGGATACGTAACAATAGGTCTATTGTGTAATCCAAACAATGGGAAATTTAACTGCCCAGCGAAATGCGTCGCGACATACTGCCTTTAACTGTACTTTTAAAAATGAAAAAAACGTGAAATGAACGATACTAAATATATTGCAAAAATATGAACAAGAGACTAAAACTTTCGGCTTTGAAATTATGGAAATCGGTAACAAAAGTTGGGATATTAATCACTTTAAAGTCTCATGAGCAGTGCGATGAAAAATATATATGAAACGAGATCTTTTAGATTTGATATGCAGTAAAGATTCCTTAGCTACTGATAAGTTGTCAGAAAAAAATTTAGCGGGATCCTATGGCGGACACTTGGGTGATGGCTCTTGGATCAACAAGTGGCCGAAAAACATCTGGCCTCATTCAATATTTACGCAAAAATGCTAATGGAAGGAACAACAGTGGAACAAAAATCCAGAAAATCATTTATTTGAGGCCCGGTGAAAACATTTTAAATGAGAACTTAAATTGGATTTAAAGTCAATCTGATTATCTCGATGTAAAAACTCCACAACTGTTTTAAAGCAGGCTTATATGCCTCCGATAAATGGGCAGGAATCGATCATCGTTCAATTCTGCACCTATAATGACGACATTATCAGGATTTTTTGTTTATTGTCAACGGATGATAGGCTGAAAAGAACACCAACATCAAGTATTCCTTTAAAGTTATCCAAAATGAGGATTAAAACGGTAGACACCTGCGTGAATTCTGTGTTTTCAAGAACATTCGTAGGCAAATATAGATCAAAGAATGTAAAGTAGAGATGACCTGGACACAAACTGAACTGCAATACCTACTTTATCGTGTTCAGCCGTCTTTTTCTCTAGCCGTAATTTCTGCAAAAAAAACTGCGATAGTCAAGACTTAGATCGATTGTGTTCTTTCATCAAAATTCATGAGAGACTCGAATGTTGATGAATACAGTAACTTGACTGATTGTACGAAATCTTGAAATTGTACGAAAAAGTTAAAGCATAAAGCGGTCAACTATGGAAAAACCTTCCTGTATTAAAACTCTCAGAGTATGATAACCCTATTTGTATTAAAACTCTCGGAGTATGATAAGTAAAATAACGATTAAAGGTGAAAAGACCCCTTATATTGGAAATCTGGTGAAGAACAAAGACAATTATGATACACACGGTTGTTTCCTACTTTTAAACAAAGGCTGGAAATGTCAACAATTTCTTTAGTAATCATGAAGCACCATTTTTGTCTAATAAATATATCAGTTATTAATTCATAGTATGAGCTAGGCAATTACCTATTGTACAATGCTCAATTGAATAAAAAACTGTTAAAAGGCCTAGAGATTTTTAGGTCAATTGTTAAATAACCAGCATGATATTTTCGCAATATTGAATCTTAATTAAAAGTCATAGAGATTGCGACTGTTTGGTAGGAAAATATTTTCTTGATCATATTAAGAAATGAAAAGCAGATCATTAAGAATTTCCGAATCATTAGGAATCTAAATCTCAAAGTACTCATAACGTAACCAGTTATGCGCAAAAGTTTTTAAACCATATCAGTTTTAACCTCTGAATATCTTCTGCGATCAAGAATTTTCAGTGTTCAGCGCCTCCCAGTCATACGGAATAATTGTCACTTGATCGGCGATTATACCACTAGGGCCGTTTACAGGCTCGAGCAAGTAGCCCGCAAATTATACGGTCTGAATTCCGAAAATTTGTACTTGTAATGCCATCACTACACAACTAGCACAATTATGTTTAATGTTTTTAGAAAAAATCAAAATTGAGAGCCAGGTTTTTAGATTGAAAGAACGAAATATGGCAAGGCTAAAACCGTATTCCAGTATAGAATGCTATGTTTAAGATAGGTGAAGAGCTTACTAACTCGTCGATGTTTCGTCGGCATGACTGCCGGTGGCGCGGTAGGCTGTGAGGTATCTTCGGTATTCTGTGATGCACGTGCAATAGCAGCTGCTCGTTTATCGGCATCTCTGTAAAAATACCTCTATTATACTGCGATGGAAATACAATAAAAAGCGGGGTACGCACAAAATATGATGGCAAATTACGAAATGAATCTACTCTACTTTATATCAATAGGTACGTTGGTCTTTGGTTTAGATATAAATAGAATTATGAAATTTGCTATACATCAGTGGTATTGTCAGAACTGTGAACTGTTTGGTGTACAGAAAAAGACTCTTCTAAGTTGCTTCTCCAAGTTTCACAAAAAATAAGCAACCATTAACGACTTTCAAAAATAATTTTCGTATGCGTATATCATCGATGTGTATCCTTATCGATGCGTGTTCTTAACATTGCATATAAAAAACCTTTACCTTATTCATTGTCTTGAAGATCAATTGAAATGCTCTTTAATGGTTGAGCAATGGAAATTGAGAAAAAACCTTATAAATTGGATCCCTGATAAAAAAAGATAACAGGATTTTACAGATAAACTTACCGTAAATTTTTGAAATAGATTTGTCTCAGTATCTGTTTTGCAGATGGTCTGAAATTAAATAGAAATAAATTACTTGCATGTAAAAAAAGGCTTTAATATATTTGTCAGTCCTTGACACAGCTTTTGAGATCAATTGGAAACCATATAGTAGAATAGAATGATAACATTTCCCAGCCATTCAGCCCTGCGTATAAATCTGAAGTGTATGTATCTTAATTCGAATTCACTCATTTCAAACAACAGGAAATACAAGTTAAAGTTTAAATACATATACGCAAAGAGATTACATTACAAATTCTAAACCTTAACCAGAGACAATAATTGCTAATATAAAGACAGTAATGCAATAACTCACTTAGACCTATTTCTTCTACTTGCTGTCTAGGAACCTTAGAAAACACTCAAAGAAGGGCTATCGAGCTAAGGACCCGATGATAGTTGTTGCAACTTAAAGGCACTATGCACCGACGCATTTCGCTGGCCATCTAAATTTCCTTTGGCTCCACTACACAATAGGCTTACTATTACGTATCCAATTGGATAGTTCTCAATGATTTCTCGATCATAAACGTGCCGCAAAGCCTATTGTAAACTCTGAAAATTCGACTGACAGGATAGTGCTTTTAGCTGTGGATAACTAACCTTTCCTCGGGATCATATGTACACATGAGTTCGATAATATTAATGCATTCTCGAGAACCGTTTGACAGTAGATGTGATAGCCCCATTCTATCTTTGTATGGGAAATTGAAGTTCATGTGACGAGATCTAAGAAAAATAGAAATTGAGATTATATCAATCATTCTAACATTCATATATGCCTTTTTGAAAAAAGATACAATGAAGGAAGTTCTTCAGCTTCGTTCATTGGTCAAACGCCACTGGCAACAACAATCCGTTTTTTCGATACATTAAGACAGAAATCTGACTCACATCTAATCACATCTAAATTCCACCCCAAAATAAATTAGTTATTATCAAAGTCTTTCGCAGGAAAAATCCTATTATTTTTCCTAATCAACCAGCTCTGTTGGAATAAATGTTTGTTGTTTGCAGCCTTTGGACTTTGAAAATGTGCCCAAATTTTAACCTTAAAAGTTTAACGACAGCCGTTAAGGAAGCATTTCTACCGGTAATAAGCAAAAACTATGTCACTTACTCACAAAATATTCGATTTGAATATAAATTAATCTGCTATCACGTTTTTATTGAAAAAGATAACAAGCGACTGTTTATCGGTGAAGCGTGCATCTACACGATTAGAATTATGTTCAGAAACGATTAACGAGATTGCATCAAGATAACAAAAAATTAGCAACGTGTATGTTCTGGTAGTCCCGTTGCTTAGGTAGAGCGAATACAGAAATGCCAAAAGCTATGCTTCTTGACAACGACTTTAGAGCAAAGTCTAGACAGGGTTTATCGTTGAACGGTAGACCAGTGACGTCAGACTCTAGCAGAGAGAGGGCTGACACATAAAACTTGCTGCCAGTCAAAGGCCAGACGACTGTACTTTCAACTGAAATTCGGATACCCATAAAAGTTGATAGTAAATGCAATCATTGTTGCAAGACAAGCCCTCTTTATACATAGAGGCTATATATAACACTTGGACATAAAGCATGTAGACAAACTTGTATATTTATAGCTCAGGTCACGTCGTGTATGCACAGGGGGGGGGGAGGGGGGCTTGAATTTGACATTTCTGTCATATAGAATTAGTATAGAAATAAAAACTTATAAACATTTCATATCCGTAATAATGTTTAGAGGTATTTAAAAACTTGAGACCCAGAACGATCAGTCTTAAGTAACACGTTATTCCATCTTGGCCTACTTTTTTATTTACACTACCTTGTGTTATTTTATTACTAACATGTGTTATTTTTACTTATACTGTCTATATCTTTTATCGTGACTTTTTTGCAGAATTAATATACCAAAGACAGAAGCATGAACAAATTTGAGTCTGATAAAAATATTTTTCAAACTCTCAAAGCAACTTACTTTTTCAGTCGGTGAAGAAGAGCTTGTGACGGCGTGCCAAGAATATCGTGTATTTTAGCTATCTGATCTACCTCGTTCGCACCAGGGAACAATGGTCGAAGGCTAAACAGAATGGATATAATAAAAAATTTATAAATATGAATATCATTCTAGTATATTATTGATGTAGAAAAATTGGATGCAATCTATGAACTGTAATTTCGATCAAGCGTCATTGGGAAACGTCCACCACAACGGAGGGGACTGGGTTGAAATAAGTGAGTGCGTAAAATTGCAGTCAAGCATTTCAGCATCTTAACGCATCATAATGTGTAGTTTAACAAAGAATAGTGAGTCATTCTAGAGATGGTCTCAATAATTCATTGTGGTAGAAAGAACATAAATTGATTGCGATACAAAGAACATATTGTCCAAAAAAGGACTGGAACTTTTTAAACGCGTGATGAATAACAAAAATTGAAGGTAATGACCCCCGGGTCACTAGCATTGAGACTCAGACCCCGTTTACAATAGCACGCATCCAAATGGGTACGGATCCACTTTGAATCTGTGATCAGTTTTCTCGGTGTTTACACTGGAACGGATCCAATTTAGATCGTGTTTACACTAGCACGCATCCAAATGGGTACGGATCCACTTTGGATCCGTGAGCAGTTTGTTGGTGTTTACACTGCAACGGATCCAATTTAGATCGCGTTTACACTAACACGGATCCAGTCCACTGTCTCGGCTACTTGACCTCCCATTGGTTTTCAACAGACAAAGGCTTTCTCAAGAGAGCTGTTCGCTTTTGCATGAACGATCGTAGTTAGTCTAAAATTCTCGTACTATTCTTCAGGAGCAACTTTATCATTCAGGAAATTTTGCTACCAAACGCTGGTTTTTCCTGGTTGTTGACAGAATCTTCTTGGTTTGCGGTGCCGATATCGCTGTTGTTGAATGTTATGATGTAGGCCTAGTCCCAGGCTGTTTTGTTTAGATATAACCAAAGCTAGTCTCAACTGACGAATCCTGTGTTGAGCATATAGAAAAGCAATATACTGCAGCCAGGAATTAAAACATAACACCAACAATGCGAGTATAAGAAGAACTTTCTGTTTGTATATGGAATTCGAGATTTTGGCGCCAACAACTGGCCTCTTAAAGAGAAAATTTCATGCCTCGTATCCGAAGTGTGCTTGGTTTGGTTCGGTTCCAGCCGTTTACACTAGACCTAAACGGGAACGGATCCAAGTGAGTACACCTTGGAGAGCGATTCCACACGGGAGCAGACCCAAATGAGTACGGATCCAGCAGGTCTAGTGTAAACGAAAAGCCTATCTGTGCTAGTTTGGGTACGGATCCATTTAGATCTGTGCTAGTGTAAACGGGATGTCAGACTCGGATGAAAGAGCTGTCGGTTAGATAGATTCGCAGAATAAACCTGCATAATACTCACGACATAATTTCATAAAAAACACATCCAATTCCCCAGATATCCATTTTGTATGTATAGTAACCATCAGTGAGGAGGCATTCTGGTGCTCTGTACCTGTATTGCGGATTCAAGATATCAATGCTCTATGCTTAAAAATTAATATATCATAAAAAGGTGAAAATTATGTAATGACAAGTTTACTTTATAGAATTTTGTAAAATCACAGGGTTCAATATACATCATAGAAAATCCCGACAAAGTCATGAATAACCTTTCTCAATAGGTAAGCGGCACTGATTGGTCAACCACAACAGTCATGTGCTTGTGTTTCTGATTGGCCTATTTCAATCCACAACTGGGTATATATATTTCCTAGCGTAGAGTTTTCGATCTATGTGCTGACGTTTCAAACTCTGAAGAGTGTCAGACGAAAAGCTTTAGTTTACCAAATGTTTGCTTTTTTCATACCATTTTCAAGTTTTGTATCACCAAAAGATTGTTATGAATACAGTACGGTTATCTGAACAATGATACGGTTATCTTTATAAACAATAATTCGCAATAATTACAGAATTTGTTTATTTTAGGGTAAAACATTGCAGTTTGATAGGCGATCTTAACTATGACTCACACTTTTTTTACAGAAAGGTTTCTCTTAAAGATTCCAGAAGTGTGAAATCATGTGGTATATGATTAATTCAAAATGGCTGCGATTTTAGACTTTTAATTAATCAAGCTGCAAACAAACTCATATAGGTAAGAAAAGTTAATATTTTGCTACTTTAAGGTTTAATGTTGATATGAATTCCTTTAAACGAGCTTCTAGCAAGATACGATGATTAAATAGAAGTTAGATAGGTCCGATAACATTATTTTACTAGAGCTTCCAAGAGCACGTTTGTATTCACACATACGAAGTTTAATGGATGTAGAAACTGATTTACCATCTCGTTGAAATGTACTCCGTGTAAGGCTGCTTCGAATAGACACTACGACACGATCCCAAGTCTGCCAATTTTACATGTTCGCCCTAAAGAGCAACGAGAAAAAACTTGGTAAGTGTTATCTATGTAATTACTTATGCAATTAAATAAAGAATTTTCTCCTGCATAAAAAGCGGTCACGTACGTGGTCAGGATATTAAAAAACCAACTGGACTGGGGATACTAATCTTCTTCAGTTCTGTTTGAACCCTATCCTGGAGAAATTTATTCCGGAGAAATTTATTCCGGAGAGGTTAGTATTCCGGAGAAATTTATTCCGGAGAGGTTAGTATTCCGTAGAAATTTCTACTATATTGTTTTCAACCGATTAAGTAAACTTTTTTGAGATCAAACTGTCTTACCTTTATGAGAATATTTTCTGGCTTTATATCTCTGTGAAAAATTCCATTCCTGATAAAAAAAGCGAAATTTCGTAAATGCAAGCAAATCAAACGCTATAAAATGTCTAAAGCAAATTTTGCAACTTTACGGATAAAATAACTTGCTTTCTTCTAAGTAAATGAACCCAGGCTAAAGATGAAATTTCCACCAAATATAATTATGCAAATGTTAATTATGTTTAATATGATAGGATCTAGCAACGATCGTCTGATACAAGGATAAAGGAGAATATATGACGACACAGGACGGTACCAATGGAGTGAACGCAATTTTTAGCATGCAAGAAGTCTAACTTTCCCTTCCCCGCGTACACAACAATGAGTATTTCATCTCACTGGAACTTCAAAGTTGCATTCACCAATTTATTTATTCGGTTTTGCCGTGGCCGCAGGAACAACGAAAACCAAACTTGGTGGAAACTGATCATATTTCTAACCTTAAAGATCAATTAATGAGGCACCCTTAAATAATATATCTATTGTTATTCTATCTAAAATTTAAAAGAATGATAGAATATGTGATGCAATATCGTTACATTTTTGACATTATTTTCTAAAATGACAATCCTTTGTTATTCAGAAACCTATTATTATTCATTATCTGCAAAGGAAACCTCTTCGACAGTATCCCGCCTGTTCTTTAATTATGATGATATTGTGGTGGTTCTTTTACAAGAATATCTTTTACTATAGATTAGGAGGTGAAACCTCTGTGAGGATAACCTCCATCCGACAAGAATACCTGAGGTCAGTCAGCGACATTAATTTTGAGTAATATCATTAGATAGTCATGAAAGAATACACTTTATTAGAACACCAAGAACTCATAAAGAAGCTTGGCTGTAGGACCATAAACGAACTAATTACTAGTGAATCTAATATCGTGGTCTTCAAAGCTTTTCATAGACTGCGTCCACGATACATGGGTAATCTTTTCATACAAAAATTCAAGCTTGCCATTAGGAATCTTAGGAATACATCGATTGACCAAAGGCTACCAACCCCCCGCCCCCCCCCCCAAATGGACAGAAATGCTTCGTTTTTAGAGGTGCTAGGTCTTTGGAATGACCTCTCAGCTGGGTGTAAGCAAGCATCTTCCCTGAGCAACTTTAAAAATATTTTGCTCATTTACCACTTGGTATTTTTATCGTGAATGTTTATTTTATCAAAAAACTCAATTCAGATTAAAATAAGGTTTTATTATATTGTTATTATATTGAAAAGTTAATTTATTCATTTTGACTATAACAGTTTCTCTAGGTTTCTACAGCGGAGGGCAACGGAAGGGCTTCCTTTCTTAAATAAACAAAACAAAATGAAATGAAACCAAAGTCGATTTATCAGAGAATAAAAACAATACAAGAACAATGCAAGATAAGGACTAGAAGAAATGTTTTTGACAATTTTCTCAACTCTTAACAAAACATAGCAGAGTTAGTCAAACGTGCTACTAATATTTGGTTCTGTGTACATCGCAAATATCAAGATTACATAACACAGTGCTACTATTTTTGAATATTCATGGAAAGCTTTTCTTGCAATATTCCTCAAAGATTATTGATGGCAGCAAGCAAGGTGCATAGGACTGTTTATTTAACACAGATGGAAATTTAAATAGATATAAAGCACATAAATTAAGTAAACCCGTAACGGGATAATTGCTCCTGAGAACAACAACACAAAATTTTCACCATGAATTGATCAAGAAACACAAATCACAGGCCAGCAAATTGCGTGTAATCATTTTCAAAATCAGTTAGCATTGCTTCACATTGTGTGCTGTTATTGGCGACATAAACAAATCAGTAACAGCATAGCTTGATGACCTTCAATTCTGCTGGATGTCAAAAACCTGAACTTCTGCTTTCAAGTAGGCGTGGTTAGTCTAAACTCATCCTTCTTGTGTAATTAGGACCAGCGGTCATGACGCACTGATTTAGCACAGGCTATCAGAATATGAAGCAAGTTTAATGTAAACATTTAAACTAATTACTCGATGCAGGTGGTTAAAAGTTTGCTTACCAGAGAAACCTTGACAGGAAATCTGGTCTTTCTGTGTACGAAGGGATCTACAGAACTCTTCCTTTTTCAGAATAAAATGGCTTATATAACTTATCTAAATTCACGATATCGTCCAAATTATCAACGACTGACCCTTTAAAAGTTTCTTGATTCTTCTAGGCTGTAAAATTATTCATATATATTTCAGACAATAAATGAGCTTTTTAATAGATTTTAAGAGCTGAGTTCCTTGCAAGCAACTGCATATTCATAGATAGGCTACCTACACAATTTTTTCAATCTTACGATCAAAACAACGATAAACAGTAAACACGAATGATGCCAATTAAGAAAGGAGGGGGGAAAATTGCTTTGTGGTATGAAAATATTCATCTCCAAAAAAATTGTTGTACTGCCAGCCGTTCCTCTTTACATTGCGAAATAATTGAAAACATATGTGCATTTTTACGGCCCCCCTTCGAAAATTTTCTTGATTTCTCGGATGTTTCTCTAAAGGGAAATTTTTAAAAAACAAGAAAAGCATAAACATCAATTGGATGAAATTTCTTAAAATTCATGTCCAGGGCAGTATTCCAGTCACTCAATTGATTGCTGATAAGAAAGTATAGATTTTTTGAGCACAATAGCATCTGCTTAAGAAAATGGTAAAATGAAATGTTTGCAAACCTTTCAAGATTACGGATAACCTTTAACTTTGTAAAATATTTTGTAACCGTAAAATTTTCGTAAAATAAATAAATTTTTCCGCCAACAATTACAAAAGGTAAAACTCATTTGTAAAACGAGACTTCGAAGTGAACCATAACATGTTTATGTGAGCAACATAAACAACATTTGGAGCGAGCCATGAATTAAAGAGAAATTATGAATAAAACTGGATTCTTGTCGAGATTTTCTCATGAAACGTGATCAGATATTAAAACAATCTTTTGGTGGTACAAAACTTGAAAATGGCTTTGAAAAAAGCAAACATTTAGTAAACTAAAGCTTTTCGTCGGACACTCTTCAGAGTATAAAACGTCAGAACATAGAACGAGTTTTAGATCTATGATCTGACGTTTCAAACTCTGAAGAGTGTCAGACGAAAAGCTTTAGTTTACTAAATGTTTGCTTTTTTCAAAGCCATTTTCTGTTTATATTGTTAGTATTCAAATTTGATGCTGTTGGCAATTAACTTCTTGTTGCATATGACATTAATGCATTTTTAAGATAATCTTGAACTTAACTGTGACTTTAAAAATCATTCAATCGTAAAACATAGCTATCAAATTCACATTTCATCCACCCAGGTCTCTCCCCATTATTACCAGATTATACTCAAGCTTAATTTCAAGACCGTTTATTATTGCTTTCGTTTATTACTGTCACAAGCGTGTATTTCTTTAAGTACAGCATCAAGCACTTTATGACAGGACTTGCATAAATTTGTCATTATATTTTGTCCGCAACTGGAATGATGCTACTGCCTGATGCAGGAATGAGATTATGAGGAGTTGTAGAGCATCTCACTGGAAGTAAAACGTTGGGTTATTTCTTAGATCTTCTACAGAATTGATAATGAAATTCTTATACCAGTTTCTTAGGTTACTTCAAGTAGAAATTTTGCGTGGTTTCTTTGCCTTGACAACAGAAAAAAAAATTTTGATTTGATCAAACTTTAAAAAAATTTGCTTTGGCTAATTGATGTTTTCTCAGTCGTTTAAAAGTTAATAATGGGTTTTGGTAATTCTTTGTGCAATTTGAGTTTTATTTACATTTTGCATGCGTGTGGCAACAACATGTGTGACTCAATAACAGGAGAAAAATGAGTTTTCAATCAATTTGTTCTTTTTCAGATACCACAGTCTGATGAAAATTCCAAACCTTTTTAAAAAATGCCAGAGGCAAGGGTATGCAATTACTTCTGACTTGATTCCAAACTTTTTACAACAGAAGTATCCCGTCCATTGAAGCAAACAAAGCTGTATAGTGGAAAAGGAACATTTTCTGGTAGTACTTAAACAGATACTTGATTCTGTTATTCTTTGTGCTCTCCAAATCTTACACGGAACATTGAATGCCATAAACAACCATTGCCAAACATAGTTGGAAGGCCACAAAATTCATGTTCAAAAGTTGACATCCCCAGGACTTAACAACCCCCGCAAGTTATCAATGCTATATTAACAAATCCCTTTCCATGCCTGATTTCACTATAAGAAGTGTTTAGATGACCACCAAAAGTCATGTGTTTCTGATATTAATAAATATTGTTATGGGGGGGGGGGGGCAACTGTGACGTTTTGTGTAGCTGTCCAAATACCTTTTGTAGAACCTCACAATGATGATTGTTTTTATAGATGTGGGACACAGGTTCAGGCCTTTGGCATTTTATTTGGTGGAATATTAATCATGTACTGTAGTTGATATTCCTTCACTTAGTTGCAAAGTTACTTAAAAAACACGGACAAGAAAAAGATATAAGATGGGCAACTGCTTTGAAGAGGAAAACTTGGGCATGGAGATTAAGAAACCATATATATCCCATATTTATGGCTGCTACAGTGAGATTGTGCTGACTCGCTAAGAATCTAAGACAAGGTTCAAACCATTGAGTCTGTTTTAATGCTGGCTTAATCTTATTGATTCCTTACAAAACATATTAAGGATTAAAAATTATCCAGACAGTATGAGGTGATTACAGTGAAAACTCTTTTGTCCTTTACAGCAAATAAACCAGTTGGTCAAGTTTATCTAGATTACATATCCTTGAATGGAAAGGTTTTAAGAGCTGCTACAAAATAATTCTGCTTGCAAAGGGGATCATTTTTTGAAACTTTTATTAATGGTCAAATTATTGAAAACAAAATCAAAGAGTTGTTTCCTTTACCTGTGCATATGGTCGAGACCTCTTAAAGTTTGGTAAATGTAATTTCTGCATTTCTGTTCAGGTAAAGAATGCTTTCTCCCTGGAAAAAGAAAAATAATACATGAAAAGTTAAATCAAAACTGACCTCTAATATTTTCATATAAAGTAGATAAAAAATAAAGGCAGGCAGTCAACATAAAATGAAAAGGCAAGGATTGAAAGATTGCAAGGCAGACTAGAGAAAATAAACAGAAAACAGAAGAATGGATGCTTGGTAAGTTCCAAAATCAAAATAAATAGGTCCAAAAATTATTTTACAAATGAATGCCTTCCCAAGAACCATATAACAGTAACACAAACAGGAGCCAACCATATATGTCTTTAGTATTTTATAAATGCTCTTGATGGGTTTAAATGTCCTTGTTTTTAAGCTACTAGGAATTTTTTCTCAGGTGAGCAACTTAGCCTAGCACCAAGTTTAAATACATCAGCTTTGTTTACATGGCATCTGACTGGTCAAACAACAGACTGGTTAATACAAATCTTCATTAGCTTATACCATACATATCATAAAATGTTTGGCAAAATATATTGCTATCAAATATTTGTTGTACTAGCTCTATACTGAATAAAAAATCACCTCTTATAAGTTCATATAGGTTCATATCAAGTAGTTCACAAATCAAAGCCACTGTTCCAGTTTTTCTGTCACTATAATGAAATAAAAAAATTAAGAGAAACGCCATGAACTGCATGAAAATCTAAAAATATTTATTGCATGTTCGAATTCTCAATGGATTTGATTGTACATAAAAATATTGTGTCCTTATTACCTTAAGAATTGTTACAACTTACTGAATGCAAGCAAATTCATCTCTTCAGCTTGTCATATTGATTTTTACAAATTCAATGTAGCAAAAAACCAACATTGTATTGAATCTGGTATAAATGATCCAGTTTTTAGTGTATTCACCCCTATATAAATGTTTTGTTAGCCAATGCAGAAGAGTAAAAGTATTAAATATAGAAGGCATTGAGCTTTTTACCATTACAACAATAGGTCAGTTACTTCAATGAAAAAGGTATTTGACAATCTTATGCTTAGAAATACATCTTAATGAACAAATAGATACACTTTTAGAAAAATTAACATACAATATCACTTCTTTTAAGTCAACAAGGTTTGCATGTGGACTCAGCCTTCGCATTGCTTGAATTTCCCTTAGGTTGTTGACACTGTCTATCCTGCAAATCAAACATGATGTTTGTTAAGCAAACAGTATACCAATAGCTCATGAAAATGTACATCAAAAATTCCTTCAGGTAGGAAATGATTTCTTGTATTTTTCTGCCTTTTTAAAAAACAAAGACCAGGGCTGAATAAATCCAACAAATAAAGGAATAATGAAATTTTGGGGGTGAGAAATACAAATACAACTACATATCAAATAAAAAGACAGTAATACATATTTCGTAAAATAGACACATGACACAAGAGGGTCTGTATGAAGGGAAATTATTGAGGAGGAATTCCTCCTCAGTAGCTAAAAAAATGAGGAGTAGATGAAGACTATCAATAATCTTTGCAAAAGGAAAAGTGTACATTTTTCCAAATGTTGAATTAAAAGGCAACGAGGTTTAGTTCCAAGACTTCAATCTGGTGGACATTTGGCAGCTTCTGTGAACTGATTGATGATATCATCAGAATGTACTGGGCGAAAAGGTAAGACAATCTTTTTAAAAATCGTCATCATTTAAAGTATTCAGGATAAAAAGAAAACTTACGTGTCAAAGTGCTGCTTCATTCTTTTACAGGCATAGTACTGCCGGTCGTCTACATTTTGGCACTTTAGAACTTCTGAGAATGTTCCCTCTCCTTTCTTTCCGAGGATTCGATATTCTGCAATGAGAAAGGGGCCAATTGTCATATATTTGGTAGTTGTATTAATTTCATCGTTAATTTTTCAATAAACGATAACATGGAGGATTATTTTCTCATCGGCAAAATTTGATTGCATCCTGTCTTAGGTGCTAGATGTCCACAATTTAGAGACGACATATGATACAGGCCTATTTATGACACCGAAAGCCAGTTGCCCATGTTTTAAGGGTTGCTTGAACGTCGAAATAGCCAACCTAGTTTACATAAATTTTTAAAATAACTCACTTTGCATCTCTCTTGTCTCTCTTGATTCAAAGTACATTCATTCTTTTGGATTACCCTCAAATTGAAGCAAGAACTAATGCCTGCTCGATGCTCGCTACATCATCGCCGCTCTTGTCCTTTGATCAATGCTGAACTCTTCATTGAAACGGAGGCCAACTTGTTACGAATGTTGCTAGGATACCGATGAACAAGACATTAATAACAATGGTGTCGTGCAAACAAACACTACAAACACAAACATAGCGTTACAAGGGCAATTTTATTACGACCAGACAATCGATAACAGAGTCCCGGCGATGTTAATAAAATTCAGGGTCTATATGTTGTCATGAACTTTTTCCAATTTTCAATAAAAATGTTGAAGTTGAAGGTAATCCTCGTTCTTCCTGTAATTTTCATACTCCTGCCTATGGTTTTACTAAAAGTTATGCCAATAAGATTGAAAACCGGAAAAACAGTAAACAGGCAAGCATTGTACAACAGAAAACGTTCCAAGGCTGTCTTCAACCAATACACATATTGAGTGATTTCTCAAAAACACAAAGAAATTATTTAAAAATTCGAAAACGCACATTTTTACCCCCCCCCCCCCCCAAAAAAATGTAAGGAATCTTCGATTTTTTAAGTATCTCGGTGACATATCTACTGAAGGAAGCATTTACAAGCAAGATTGATAGTTTTCTCAAAGATAGTTTCAACGCTATTGTTTGGGTTTCAACAACAAACGAATATTCGTTTTAGGGAGATGAAAAAACACGTTGTGGGGGTTGGTTTTGTTTTAGCTAAAAAACCGACCGAGGGAATGACCAAGAAAGTTGAGGTGCAGGAAAAAAAGAAGGGTCGAAGGTCTAATGACAACTTTTTCGTTTACATTTCGCTTACTTTTAAAATATTCTCCTAGCTTTTAAAAACAAAATGAAACAACGATAATTAGTAAAGAGTTCAACTAACGTCGTCAGCAAAATAATTTCGCGCGTTTTTTGAAGATTAACAAACCTAAACTCCTTCATATTTATTTTTATCATTGCACAGTCAGAATTCATGAAAAAATCGAATCGTTCCATAAGGGGCGACGTGTGGAAGCAAATACAGATGTCAAATGAAAAAGCATTTATGCTGTGCCACTTATCCTTTCCATACTCTACCGTTTATCATAGATTTGGGGATTTCAAAGTTTACCGAGCAGCTGAATTCTTTGATTATTAAGCCACCAGACAATGGCATAGATAGGGAAATTTGTAGGAGAGTGACAAACTTAGATTTTCCGACAAAAATCTAACAAGCATTTAAATTTTATTCATAAATTTTAACCTAACATAACGACTTCGGAACTGGAATATATCAATCTTTTGATATATTAAAATATTTTTATGTTTATTCAGCTTTAAATTCTTTCCTACCAAAACATAGCGATTAGATAAACATAGACAACCATGTTAAATTTTCGCAATGACCAGAGGTATTCCGACAATATAGCAGTTTAGCTCTACAGGGGTTTTTTGCCCCCTCTGACCCCCCTCTATCTACACCACTGCCACCAAAGTAGTTTAGTCACCATAGCAATTTTAGCAGCCAAAATAGCCACCATAGCAATTTTAGCAACCAAAATAGCCACGAGAGCAATTTCGGCAATCATCAATTTCAAAAATTCCAGGGGAGCATTCCCCGTACCCCTTAGAAGCGTCTGCCTTAGGCATGTTTTACTATTTATCTTTTGTCCTGCCCGGGCCCATAAATCCTCTCCGTGGCCCTGGAGATACTACACTGCAAATCAACCCATTCACCTTCCACTCCCCCACCCCCTTCTAACTCTATAATAAATAACAGGGATTTACAATTAAACTAAATGTGAAATAGAACTTGGTTGCTTTTTATTGAGAAAACAAGAGAGATCTGGCAGAGAATACGTCAGAATGCATAATAATGTTTGCAATCCTTTCTAATTAATTTAAATCAAATAAAGTGAAACGGTGGTAGAAGATACGTGGGTAATAGTTTCTAAGCTATCAACTTTGAAATGAAAATGATAATTTTGAACCTTAAAATGATCAACGTTTTGGCTAGCAGACTAATTTCGCCATATAAACACTGCAAAAAAGTCTCCAAAAAAAATTAAGAACATCTTCGATCACTGTACACTGGAGAGAATTTGAAGAGATTGTGGCATGGAGCTGGCAAATTCTTTGTTACAGAGTTGCTTTTAGTTAAAAGATATTTATTTCCACAATAGACAAGCATAGCAGCTGTTTTTCTTGTCAAATTAAGTCAAGATGACATCAGCTTTCTCGAAAATTGCTTCAAAATCTTGCTAAATTTGATGCATTCATTGCAAGCTTGCCTTCAGAACTGACCATTTATATTTTGAGCAAGTGAATATTCATTTTAAGAATTTAATCCCACTAAATTGGACTTGTTGAAGGCCAATTCAAAACAGCAAGCAAGTTCAATCACACGCACAGTGAAAATACTATCTTTGGGATACAACAAAGTACATCAAGGATTGCAGTGGCTATGGTTCAGAGGGGATACATGATCATCATTAAAAGCACTTCAAGAGATCCTGCAACATAGGCATGATTCTCACTACCTTTTAAAGCCAAAATCCATTCATTTCTCTGGCCTTTAGTGTTCTATTAAACCCCTCATTTTTTGCATTGAATTTTCTGCAAAATAATACCAAAAGTCGCTGGGTGCTCTGAAGATTATCTTTAAAATTCATTTTTAATGTGATTTCTCATCCAGTCTTATGAATTGCTATAAATGTTTGATAGAAAATCTACAATTATCTATCCTTAAGTTCTAAAAATCTTTTGAGCAAAAGTGACAACCGCAGCGTCTCACAGGGCTAAATATTGGACTCAATGACTTCTGTTATTAAACTGGCATATTAAAGAGATTTGATGAAACCATGTGTGGTTAGAGCGAATCGAACACTACCTGGTCAAGTTTATGCTCACAATGCATTCTTTAGTGTGGGGGTATCCTTACAGTAGTGCTTTGATTACACAAATAGTTTTATATGATCCGCTTAATGCTTTGTGGGTTAAGTGATTTTTCTTCTAATTCCCCTTTCAAGACAAAAGTGTTGATAAGCCAGGTTTGCAGTCATGTACGCATTAAGATCAGTGTTGCAATTAGCCAAAACTGGGTCTGGTGCTGCAGCACAAAAAGACCTGTTATTGGGCTTATTCCAGGAAACGGCCTAATGCTGTAGCACCAATAGTTCACTGTGTAAGTAGACAAAGGAATGAATTAGGCTGATACGTTTATTACAATATTTATTTGCAAAGTAACCAAAGAGGAAGTTGCTATGACGAAGTGACATGAAGTAGATTAGCTGGGTGCTTCCAAAGGGCATTAAATAAATGGCTGCCCTTTGGACAAAAAATTGCACATTATTGGACAAAAAATTGCAGAGGTGGTACACATTTTGGTAACGACGATCGTTCAGCAAAACATTTGCTTTTCTCTCTAACTAAAATTGTCATCGTTTTTATTGGCTTATTCAAAGAATTGGAGCCTGCCTTTCATAAATTTGCACTTTCATACAAATTTGCACTTTAGTTACAGTTGCGCTTTGACAGTTGAATTGAATTATGAGAAAGGACTTTCTGTTTTATGTTGAAAATTCAACTTAACTTGACGTTACTCTGTATTTCGGTTGACCTCGGCTTCGTATCGGAAGACAGATCTCCGACCTCGCTTTCGATCCCTCTCAGTTCTACTTTTCTCGGGAAGTGCAACTTTTCTGTCTTATAACTTGATGGATAATTGGAATTCTGAAGCAAAAGCCTTTATACCCCCAGCAGAAACTAGTTTTAAGTATTTTTTTCGTATTGAGATTTGAGAAATGAGATTTGTATATTTTAAGAATTATGTGGCTATTTGGTTTTCAAAAAGTTACTTTCCATTGCGTACCAGCTTAGCCTCGTTGACATACTCATTGCCCGACTGAATATGTTGATACCAGATTAATGTTTTGGTAAAAAGGTTTTAAGAAAGTTTGATCATTGAAATTCAAGAATTTGAAGTACTGGGGACATTCCGAACTTCATTATAAAAACACGTGTATGATAGTCTCTGATTTATAATTATTCTTAAACAGACGTGCTGTCTAAAGCATTTGTCAATGTCTGGCTTCCCACGCTCCGGTTGGGAAAACAGCAAAGTTTTAGCAGATGAAATTCCGTTTGGGCTATCCAGAGTAGGAGAATGCTGTCTGTTGAGAGACCGACATCGTTTAGCAACCGGTTCAGCTGGACAAACATTGCAAGACAAGCAATAAGTTTTTCAGGGAATTTTAAATTAAGATTATGCAAACAGTTGCAGAAGGAATGGCGATTTCTAGACAACATGGACATATGCCTGTCAAGAATTTTCCGCGAAAAATTCAATTAAACCAATTAACAGTCTGCAATTTTACGTTAAAAAGAGACTTTATAAAGGGTTTTTCATTTATTGGTAGTAAACTATTTCTAAGTGTCAGCCTATTTAAGATTGATGTCGAGTTTCAACACATCAAGAAGAATGAAGCCACCTGAACTAAACAAACGACTTCAAAGTTTTAAATTCAAATCGAGAAGGAAAGCTCATTTCATCCATGTAGAAAACGGGGGGTTAAGATGTCGAATTTATTAAACTGGTTTCTTACTGAAAAATTGTTTATGCTATATCTGAAGAAAGAGTCATTTCAAAGCCTCCGTTGATTTTAATGCTTTTCAGGCAAAACTTAAATTTAGTGCTTTTCGGTTTTATTAGATCGAGGGAGATCAACATTTCGTGTCATAAAGCTTTTTTGCTACTGTGTGTTGTTAACTATAAAATGCTTCATTTGAAATTTACTTATGTTTTAACTAGCACAATGTTTGATCCACATCTTCTTTGAGCTTCAAGCAAATTATTTTAACAAGAAAAATTCGTATTTGCATAAAAGAATATAAACAAGGTCATAAACATTCGAAACAGAATACCTGCTGGTGATTTGTCGCTCTGAATATAATAGGGTAGGGGCTAAGTGCCCCGCAAGTCTTTGAGGAACGCATAAGAAACAATTTTGCTAAAGAAGCAAGGGCAAGTCGGAAAAGGTCAAGTCAACAAAAATGGAAATATAAATTTTACAAACCTCTATGCAACAACAAGCATAGTATAAACGGATA